AAATAGTTGTACCTCGTTCTCAATACGTCCTAATATGTTACTGAATTATCCACCAAATTTCCATACAGTTGAACTCATTCTAAAATAGTAAACATCGTGTCCCTAATCCGTGCAGAATGCATTTATTTTTATTCGGTCGAGTTGGGTCTGTCTACGAACAGAATAAACGAGCTACAAACGGACTAGATTGGGGTACTCATGGCTGCAATTTACGCCTGACGTCGTAATACGTCCTTAATAGGATTGTAGTACGACACTTCCGTTCGTTCGTGCACAGTTTAAGCCCGTTTTCGAGAATGTAGTGAGAACTAGTTAGGTGTGATAACAGGGTTAACATACTGTTTTATTCATTAGTATTTTTTTAGAAATCTACCGCAAAAACTACCACATTTTTTCAAAATCTACTGCAAAACTACTGCATTTTTTCAAAGTTTTCCACAAAACTATTTTTTTAAAAATCTACCGCAAAAACTACCGCATTTTTTCAAAATCTACCGCAAAAGTACTGCATCTTTTGCGAATCTTCTGCAAAAGTACCGGTTTTTCAAAAAATTACCGTAAAAACTACCGCATTTAAAAATCTACTGCAAAAACTACCGTTTTTTAATTTACCGCAAAAACTACCATTTTTTTTAATCTACCGCAAAAACTACTGTTTTTTTAAAAAACTACCGCATTTTTGTTGAAAAATACCGCAAAATCTACCGCATTTTGAATACAGCAATTTTAAAAAAATCTACCGCAAAATTTTGGTCTTAGGTTGGCAGGTATGAAAACTGTGATAGCAATATGTTTTAAATGTAAGAAAACTATATAGGACGTTGATAAAGCAAGAAATGTAGATATTAAAATAGCACATGGCAGCCATCTTGAAAAATGGCGGCTTTTACTCGTTATTTTACTATTTTACTATAACTCAAAAAGTAGTGGAGCGATTTTGTTCATATTTGGTTTGTGAATACTATAAGCATGGCACACTGTCTAATGTCACTTTTGGTAGAAGTCTGCCATTTTGAAAAATGGCCGCCATTCAAACGTATTTTACTATAACTCGAAAAGTAGTGGAGCGATTTTGTTCATATTTGGTATATGAATAATATAAGCATGGCACACTGTCTAATGACACTTTTGGTAGAAGGAGGCCATTCTTCAAAATGGCGGCTATTTAAACATATTTTACTCGGCCTTTACTCGTTATTTTACGATTTTTGCTGTAACTTGAAAAGTAGTGGAGCGATTTTGTTCATATTTGGTTTGTGAATACTATTAGCATGGCACACTGTCTTATGACTAGGGATGGGACGGTTCGGTCGGTTCGGTTTTTCGGATCATCAGCCGTCGGTTCGGTTTTTTCGGTTCATTCATTTTAAGGATTTGTATTGATAACTTCTCATCGACTTCTGCGAACCCAAAGTACGTCCAAACGGCTGATTTTAGCTTTGCGGGGGCTGCAATAATCTTCATTTCTTTTGGGAAAACGGGAATTTGAGATCCAGACGCCATATTTGAATGTATTGCACAAAATAATACCCTATATCGAACCTGCGCAAATATAAATTTGCACAAATCTTTGTATCAATTATGCCACGTTATAACAATATCTATAGATGGAATTTTATGTTATAGTATTTCATGAACAATACATATTATTTAGAATACACGACTAAAGAATATAGTACCAGGGACCACATGATTGATTACCGAGGGATACGAATACGCGGATACGAAACGAATCTAGTAAACGAGTGAGCTAGCAACAGACAAGACAGACAAGGTAAGGACTAGGAATATCAAAAATGTTGCTGTAAAACAGTGTTTTTAACTGTTTTATTGATACTTGACCAATGAAATATTAATCCGAAAACGATCCGAAAAGCTGATCCGAAAGTAGGGCCGTGATCCGAAAACCGATCCGAAGGCTATGAACCGCGGTTTTTCGGTATTTCGGTTATCCGTCCCACCCCTACTTATGACCCTTGTGGTAGAACACGGCCATTTTGAAAAATGGCCACCATTTTAAAGTATTTTACTACAACTCGAAAAGTAGTGGAGCGATTTTGTTGCAATATATTTCGTTTGTAAAAATGCCATCTATTTCTGTTCGATGGGATTCGCTACGCTTTGGTGTTGCCTTTGTTGTGGTTGTTACTTGTCAGGAGCAGATCCAGGATTTCAGGTTAGGGGGTGCGGTGCGCCTTGATTGTTGAATTGGAGGCCCAATGGATGAACAAAGAAAGCCAGAGGTCGGGTCCGAGGAAATTTAGAAAATAGTTATTCTGCACATAATAGGCTACAAAGCGAATTCCATATTGTGATGATCAAACTGAAATCCGCCAGGGCTTTATTTTTCTAGTTTTAGAGATGATTGCATGATTTAAAACCTCCCATGATTTTCGAATAATGCATAAAGGTTCACTCAAAGTCGGCAGTTTAACCATTGAAAGTGATATTTAGACTGAGGATTGAAAGCTGTTCACGATCATTTTCAGCTCATCTTTATTTCAATAAACTGAAAATAACTTTTCGAGTCAGGAACGCTGTGTCAATTTTCTTGTTATGAAGCCGGTGTAAAAGGGTAGGAGGTCCTATTAATTTATGGTCCTACTCTCCATTGATTTATATGATGACCTCTTTTCCTTATTATCTTATACACAATCAGGGCCAGTAAGGACCTTTAAAAAGGGGGACCATAATCCCTGGGGGACCATTATTTCTTTCACACCTGGAAGTCAAGACATTTCTAATAGAAAGCATAGTAATCATTTGATTTCTCAGTTGTTAAATGGCAATTTGGTAAAAACTACATTCTTTATGACAAAAATAGCTTTCCAATGGTGTCGTAATTTTCATGAGCCACTGCTTGTACATTTAATGTGGCGGGGATGGTACTTGGCCCCTCTCATTTTTGAACAACATTGAATATATATTATGTCTATATGCACTATTGGTCAATGTGTTACCATTTTGGTAGCCCTTGCACATAGATATACTTGCAAAATTATTGTCACTTTTATATTTCCAATATAGCGTACGACCATATTTATAAACAATCTATGCTAATATACACTACTGGTCAGTGTCTTAGCCCTTACATATGTGTTCCCTTAGTGTCACTTTTATTATCCCATTGAATGAAGTTCGGAGGGATATAGGGAACGCCTCCATCTGCCCGTCCCTCCTTACATACGTACGTACATCCGTCCGGGCAATAACTCAAATATTTTACCATAACTCGAAAAGTAGTGGAGCGATTTTGTTCATAGCTATAAGCATGGCACACTGTCTAAAGACACTTTTGGTTGAAGGTGGCCACATTTCAAAATGGCCCCCATTTTAACATATTTTACTATAACTCGAAAAGTGGAGCGATTTTGTTCATATTTGGTATGTGAATACTATAGGCATGGCACACTGTCTAATGACACTTTTGGTAGAAGGTGGCCGTTTTGAAAAATGGCTGCCATTTTTGCTATATACTTTGTTTGTAAATATGCCAGCCATGGCTGTTCGATGGGATTTGCTACGCTTTGGCATTGCTGTTGTCTAGTTTGTAAGAATGCCAGCCATGGCTGTTCAATGGGATTTGCTACGCTTTGGCGTTGCTGTTGTCTAATTCAGCTTTTATATGCTTTGATGCCTAGGGACACAGTGTCTCTGTTCGAGAAAGATTTTCAAAATAGCGGCTGAATTTCAAAATGGCTGCCATTTTTCGTAAATAAGGAATGTAATATTTGATAATTCAATGATAATTTACGGATATGGTTTACATTTTATATGTTGATGCCAACAAACATGTAGGGATGTAGGGACAAACAAGCTCTGCTCAAGAAGGAAGTTTCAAGATGGCCCCTAATAATCAAAATATGTATGGTTTGGTAGGATTTGCTACTCCGTTGAGTTGCTCTTTTTCTTGTTGATCTTTTTATTACTGGAAAGTTTCAAGTAATTCTAGATAAAAGAATTAGAGCAAGGCATCAAAGACTTTTGGATCGCCCCTCGTGAGAGCTCATAACTCGTTTTTGAGGCCAGGGTTTTATTTTTATTTAGAAAATCAGATTGTTTCCACCACACACATGTCATGTGATGTAAAATTTCTGCTCTGAAAATGAAATCAATTTTGCCGCGAAAGACATGTGCTGACTTTATATCTCTAATATCATGATAAAATAAAACAGAAACGGTTTAGTACAACTTTAAGCATGCGATTCTGCATTGCAACCAACTGATGATGAAGCATCAGGTACTTGGTCCTCCCCGGGGATCCTCCCATGGTTGTGGAAAAGTGTAGAAAAACTGGGTAATAGGAAGGCTAGCTGTAGTGGCCCTTATGGCTAGCCAAGCATAAAGCATTAGAAAACTCCTTTTTAGCAGAATTGCATAGTATAAGTTTCTAAATAATGTAGCTGAATAACGCTTACATAATAGATGTCACCCTTGTTTGTCTTTGATTTTCTTTGGCCAGACCTCCATTCACTTCAATGCTTGAAACTTGCAATAGTCACTTAATTTCATTATTTATCAAAAAGTGTTGGTTAAACTGTCTGAAACTCAAATGGTATAGTATACTTTTTGATGACCCTGTCAATGTACATGTTATATTGTGATTAAACATGAAAACGTTGGTTGTCATACGAATAAGCCATTAGGTTTAAAGAATTTTAGCATTGCACCAATTTAGATTTGGAAGTTTTTTTTAAAAAATGTCATGGAAAATAATTTAAATGACATCACTGTGTAAATCAACGCTATTTTTAGAGAAAACTTGTCACTGAATTCAAATATGCTATTAAAAATAAAGAAAAGTAAGTCATTAGTAAAAAGTTCAAATCTCTTAAAATCCCATGAAAAAAACGAGAATTAGCAAGATTTCAAAGCTATTTAGAAACTCCTTAACTGAATCAAATCTTCCAGGAGTAAGAAATTAAATGTTATTAATCAATGTGAAGATCTAATAATTGATTGCGATACCTAGAAGTTAATGTGCTGTTATATAATTTCAGGAATGGATAAGCGTAAATTTGGGAACAAGGGGGGTCAAGGAGCAGCACCTGCAGCTAAGCGTGCTAGGAACAATGATTGGGATGATGAAGACCCCTCATCGTTTGAAGCAGAACTTGCCATGTGGGAGGATGAGGCTGAGTCTCAAGAGCAGGTCATAGGTATGTGGAATATTATGTGAATAATTGTGAGGAATACTGTGAAGAAAGAGATGTTAGTACAGTAAATATGTTTGATCATTAGTTGGGATCTAATACCTGATGTGTTAGTGTGTATTTCTTTTTTATTATTGGGAGATTGATTTTCAGGTGATGGCCCAGAGATGCAAACAACAACGGCAAAGTGGGCAAGACCTCCAGTGCCTCATTTAGATGTGAAGAAAGATGCCATCATCTTTCAACAGCTTGATCTGGACACTTATATTGGTGAGTGTATTTCAACAGTTTCAAATGCAGGGAGGAAAAATGAAAGACAAGAGATACATCAATATCACTCGCCCATTTGGCAACAGGCAAATAAAACCGGCACCACTATACAAAGTTCATGTCTCCTTGTATATTGTGGTTAAATGACTTGATAAATATGTAATCTTGGCAAAAATGCCAATCACCTTCAAACTGGAAGCATGCCCGCGAACAAGCTTAAGACTATTGATTTCATTGGCTCTTGAATGAGATGTGTGATTTTGATTGGTCCAACATTGTCTACCGATGTAGTGTGTGATAATACAAATGGGCGATAATACATGTAGTGTACTTTACTTATACTTAAAATGGGATAAAACGTGACACATTATGGAAGTCTGAATGCATCCTCCCGATAAATATTTCCTTATATTAATAGTAACAGTCTCAGAATAGCTAAAAGGAATGAATAGCCTGCACACATTTTTCTATGCAAGCAAAGGTCGTGAACTAGATTCTTGGTTCATTTGTAGCAATCTTTACTGTAAACTCTCCAATAACAATCCATGTCATTATTGTAGAAACATGTATATGCTATTACTTTGTTCTGTTATTGCAAATAATTGGCCATATATGAAATTCCTGAGAATTTGATTCATAGCCAGCGGTGTCTTAAATGCCAAACTAGATACGAAATAATAAAGAGCAGGATATGAAGATAAGGATTTGCACTCCTTAGATGAAATTTTTCAAAAATTAAATGACATTCAAAATTAATTAATCTGTGATTCAATAAACACTAGACTTAAAAATGCAAGAATGAAGACAAAATACTTCATGTTTTTTGGTGAGTGACAAACTTACCACCTCTCATATAATAGTGAACCATGCTTCACTGTGACATTTTACAGAATTTCTTTATTATGATGTTAAAGGCAGAATCAGATCTAGCAAGATGAGAAAGAGTTTTCTCAACAAAAGTTGTTTTAATTTACAATATTTTGGCCTCATATCATTCCTTGTCATGTCTGTTTTCTAAAAATCCCCAAGGTGTATGCTTTATTTGAGGAAAATTAAAGATGTTTAGTTGTGTATTTACACATTATGCATTACTATTTAAGTTGTACTTTGATATATTTATATTTGCATGTTCAATACAGGTGGACATCTGCCTGGAATGCCTGGTTCTCAAATAGGCCCTGTCCCTATTATACGTATGTATGGAGTTACAATGGAAGGTAACAGTGTACTGGCTCATATACATGGTTTTGCTCCCTATATCTTTGTACCTGCCCAGAAAGACTTCAAGGAAGAACATTGCAGGGTATTTAAGGTAATTTATGTCATATGCAACTTCATGTTACATTCAAGAATAATAGATCACAGGGCTCTCACCAGGAAATATTTAGAAAGTGGTAAATACATCTTCAGCATAACTGTTCAATCATTATATAGAGTATATTATGTTATATTTATCCTTTTCACTACTTGCTATTATTATATATACAATCCTGAATTGTCAATAGGTTGTGGCGGGGGCTAAATAGACTGTGGTGATGTGCCACAGTCTAAAGGCCTAGCAAGAGCCATTGATCACAATTCGGGATATCAGATCTGAAGCAGGAATGACTTGAATTATATTCTTAATTATCTCAATGAACAAAGTTCGATAGGGATAAAGTGAAGCCCTCTGTCTGTAAATCCAGGGAGCATGTATGGGAGGGGTCAAGAAAACAGAAATGTTTGATAAACTTTTAGATTTCTCTGAAGTATGACCTTATTAAACTTTTAAAAATGAAAGGGTACATTTAAAGGAATAAGTAATTCCTATTATATCAAGTGGAAAACAATATTTCCCATGTTATTTTCCCATAGGGAAAACTCATGTGATCCATTGCTTTCAGCTTAATTTTGGTCATCCATGATGGATATCTTTAAAACCCCTGAAGAAATTACATATTCCTTTAAAGTGGTTAATTGCGTGTAAAACGCAACATATTGATGCAACAAAAATTGAAAAAGCAGAGTTGGAAGGGATTGAAAATCAGGAAAACATTTCAGAAAAAACATGTGAGTTGGTTGTTTGAATCTTTCCTCTCTCAAAGTCGAAATTATTTTATCATCTCTATGAGTGCCTTTCCTGGAGGTAATGCATTGACCTAACATATGCACCTGTTTAGATACTCAGAAAACAGACAAAATCCAATATATGACTGTCCGAAATCTGTTGCGATACTTTCCATCCTCCTTTGGGGAATTCACAATAATTTAGATATCTGTCCAAAGAATGGTTACATTATAAACATTATCCTACTTAAGATTACAAATATTGTATTGTTTTTATAATTGTACGTTTGAAACTCAAAAATGGCCACCCAAATGCTTAAATTGGTGGGAATTCTGATTTCCAATGTCATTCTTTTATTATCTTCAAATAAGGGTAGAGTAGATGGTAAATAAATATTATACATTGTATTGTGATATATACAGAATCATGAATATTTTGTTCGTTGAGATTTGCCACTCCTTTCATTTGAACTTGTGATATATTCCAGCTTTAACTAGCAAACACCTTAAATTGTGGGCCTTGGATCATTTCTATTACTGAGATATTTTACGGAGATGGGGTATGTTCAGAAAGGTTGATATAAATATATGTATATTTGAAACCATCTGATTTCTAAGTCCAAATGATGTTAGCACATCATCTTTTGGTATAACATGATTATTTCATTTTTATAGCAGCTTTTATGTGTTGTATTATAGGATACTCTCAACACAGCTGTCATCAAGGACATGAGGAGCAATAAAGATAACATTACACAGGCAGTTCTTGCAGTGGAGATCGTCAGCAAAGAAAGTAAGTAACAAAAGTAATTCATTAAACTGTCCCCTAAGAAATTTGCATTTTTTTAAAAAAAAAATTGCGATCAAGATTATGGATTTTGTGATTTAAAAACTAAGTGTTTTTGCGAAGATTTTAGAGATAAACACTATGTTTTTTGCAAGAATTTTGCGTCGAAAAATTGAAATTTACGAATTTCAATTTGTGCAAGCAAGCATTTTCAGGTAGTGTAAAATGCGGATCTCTTTGGGATCAAAGATTTCAAATAGCGGTGGAATTCATCAATTTAACCAAGTCTTTGAAGTGCCTCTCTATACTTTTCATTGTCTAAATTGTATTGCTCATCCCTATAGATCGTAAAAATTCACCCCTAGTCCCCTATAGATCGTAAAACTTACCAAATAGTGAAAACGAACTTCCTACTTCGCCAATCAAGAAAGTCCCAGCATGCACCACGCTAAACACTAAACCGGAAATTAAAGTATTGCAAATTACGAACTCAGAATAAATACCAAGTATTTTTGTTTCCCGCACATGACATTAAATAGAAAAAGTTGGATTTTATACAAATTAAGCAGAACATTACCGTCTATAACTGAGCATGAAAATTGCGAGAAGGAGTGACGGATCTGATCGGACTTGACTTCAATGTATCCGCAAAATACCCCACTAACAAAACAATGGCATCTGTTTGTTTACAAAAATAATTTATTTCGTTTTCATGGAAATACTTATCAATACTGGAAGAATTCACGCTAATTTCTATTTAAAGTAACACAGATGGTAGAGCAAAGCATATTCAAGAAGATAAAGAAATATTTAGCTTTTACAATTTTATGTGTCAACTCCAATACAAAGCTCCAAATTTCTTGTTTTTGCGCTAAATCTGGAATTTTGCAATCAACACCCGATTTTGTGGAATCGCAATGCGATCGCAGAAACGCAGATTTCTAAGGGGACAGATTAAACATTCTTTCCAATATGGCAGTACATGAAAACAGGTGTGTGACAGTGTCATAAGACAAGAACTTCTTAACTGCTCTTCCAAAATTTTATCCCCAAGCCCAATATAGAAAGAACTGCTAAAATAGGGTTATGCGTTACCTCAATTATATTTGACTTTCCCGAGACTATAGATTGTATTAAGTTTTGAGGTATTAATCTCCAAACTCATTTTAACGTGCAGGCATATATGGATACCATGGCAACAAAAAGCTTCCATTCCTGAAGATCACCATGGCTATCCAGAGGTTGATTGCCCCAGCAAAGAGACTGCTAGAGAGTGGCTTTACGTGCCCTGGCTTTGGTCAACATGGCTTCCAGAGCTACGAAAGCAACATTGATTTTGAAATCAGGTATGGTAAAAGTTTATATACAGTCATATTTTTTCTTGTTCCTTTAAAAATGCCTATTATAAGTGATTATTACCCCATCAAACGACGTTTGGAGGGATATAGGGAACGCCCCTGTCCGTCCAGGCAATAACTCAAATACCGTTGGCCCGTCTTTGTTTATATTTTGTAAACATATACTCTATTGAGGTAGAAGTTCTGCTTAAAAGCCAATTTCCAAAGTGGCCGCTCATTCAAAAATGGCGGCCATTTTAGTGTCGATTTTACAGTAATTTAGGTACAATATGTAAAACTGTAAAAGCAACATGTTTTAAATTTTAAAAAAAATTATATAGGACATTAATAAAGCTAGAAATGTAGATCTTAAAGAAGCACATGGCAGCCATCTTGACAATGGCGGCCTTTACTCGCTATTTTACGATTTTTGCTGTAACTCGAAAAGTAGTGGAGCGATTTTGTTCATATTTTGTATGTGAATACTATAAGCATGGCACACTGTCTAATGACACTTTTGGTAGAAGGTGGCCTTTTTGAAAAATGGCCACCATTTTATCCTATTTTACTATAACTCGAAAAGTAGTGGAGCGATTCTGTTCATGTTTGGTATGTGAATACTATAAGCATGGAACACTGTCTAACGACACTTGCGGTAGAAGGTGGTCATTTTCAAAAATGGCTTCCATTTTGCTCTTACTTTATTTGTAAAAATGCCAGCCATGGCTGTTCAATGGGATTTGCTACGCTTTTGCATTGCTGTTGTCTAGTTATATTTTAAGGGAATATATAGGGAAGCCTTCTGTCTATCCATTCAGGTGTCCAGGCAATACCTCAATGATTTCGTTCAAATTTAGTATGCTGATGCCTAAGGACACAATAGCTCTGTTTCAGAAAGAATTTTCAAAATGGTGCCTGAATTTCAAAACGGCCACCATTTTTCGAAAATTGTAATCGTTGAAAACTCAAATACCATTTAACGGATTTAGCTCAAATTTTTTATATATGCTGCTATCTAGGGACTAGAGCTATTCTGGTGAAGAAATTTTCAAAGGTGGCAACTTAATTTCAAAATGGCCACCGTTTTTAGGAAAAAAACATAATCTTTGATAACTCAAATACCAATTGAGTATATGATGTGGTCGCTGTTTTTTATCGTACCTAATAAAGGTACGATATTGTCGTCAGCTTGACGGGCGGGCGGGCGGCGGGTGGGCGGCGTCTCACTTTTCAGCTTGTCTACAGGTTTCCAGCCAAACCATTTGACAGATTCATCTGAAATTTTCAGGAATGTTTCTACATATCAAAGTTAAGAACTGATTAGTTTTTGGGCATTCTGGGTAAATTTTAAGGTGGCCATTTTGGATTTTCCGTCCTAAAATCTTCACTTTCAAGACTTGTCTACAGGTTTCCAGCCAAACCATTTGACGGATTCATCTGAAATTTTCAGGAATGTTTTTACGTATCAAAGTTAAGAACTGATTAGTTTTTGGGCATTCTGGGTAAATTTTAAGGTGGTCATTTTGGATTTTCCATCCTAAAATCTTCACTTTCAAGACTTGTCTACAGGTTTCCAGCCAAACCATTTGACGGATTCCTCTGAAATTTTCAGGGATGTTTCTACATATCAAAGTTAACATCTAATTAGTTTTTGGGCATTCTGGGTTAATTTTAAGGTGGCCATTTTGGATTTTCCGTCCTAAAATCTTCACTATCAAGACTTGTCTACAGGTTTCCAGCCAAACCATTTGATGGATTCATCTGAAATTTTCAGGGATGTTTCTACGTATCAAAGTTAAGAACTGATTAGTTTTTGGGCATTCTGGGTAAATTTTAAGGTGGCCATTTTGGATTTTCCGTCCTAAATTCTTCACTGTCACACTGCTGTGTTTTAGGTACGATTTTGTTCACGTCTGTGCCTTGTCTAGTTGGCCGATAGTCTGCCAGCTTCTTAGTATATTTATTAGGGGTGAGACGACAACCCGATGAGTCGAGGACTAGCGGGTTTGGGGCTTCGAGTCGATGATGAATCGAATCATTTTCGAGTTATGAAAAAAATTCGAAAAAATAAAAAAAATTAGAAAAATACTGTCAATATGCATGTTTTTACTCGATATTGCGTTGAATATATAAGTTTCAATGACTTGGATATGCTTGTATTAAATTATTATATTGTATGTACACATAAATGAAAGAATATATGTAATAAAATCAGAATAAACTTACGACGAATTGTGTTTGTTTATATTTCCGGCTTTCCACCATTGACGCATTAAAAATACGAACGGTCAAAAGCGATGTTGTTCGCACTTCGCGCGACTCGAAACGGATTCGAAACTCGAATCGTCATTTTCTGACTCAAATCGGATTTGACTCGAATCAGATTTTTTCGACTCGTCTCACCCCTAATATTTATGATGGTCAAATTAACTTTGGAATATTTGAATTCATACTCACTAAAGTTATTTAGAATTATGTATAAATGCCATTTAACTTGCAAATAAATCCAACAGAAAATGTACATGTCACATACTGTTTAAATGTACTTTTAGATTCATGGTAGATTCTAATGTTGTTGGTTGTAACTGGATAGAAGTTCCAGGTGGCAAGTACCATGTACGTCAACCAGAGCATACCAACATGGCAGACAATAGGAACCCACCAAAAAAGTCACGATGCCAGATAGAGATTGATGTAGCTTGGCAGGATTTCATTTCTCATTCTGCTGAGGGAGAGTGGGCTAAAGTTGCCCCATTCAGAGTGCTCAGCTTTGACATTGAATGTGCAAACAGAAAAGGTTGTCCCTCAGCTTTTATCCGTCAAACATTATTCCCTCATTTTCGGGTTAACAGCCGCGTTTTAGTTTTAGTATAGATTAAATAGTGAGAATATGGTACCATTGATCTCACTATACTCTCTCTATTTGATCCATTCTCAAAACAAAAACCAGACTGTTGGTTATGTAAATAACCTAAATGCCAGTAGGTTTCGCCAGCAGGTGGCTACCCGTTCTGGTCTATTTTGAGATGATTGATATAAGTTTATTATGCAAGTGAGATGTAATGAAACTTAAAATTTTAGAATGATACAATATGCATTTAAAGGAATCTAATGATTGCAGTGTTTTTCATTTGAATACTTTTGACTTCCTGTGTTAAGTGGGTGTATTGAACTCATGCAAGAAACTAGAAACTTGGTATTATATTTTTTTTATTCTTTGTTCTCCTAGTTCCATTTACTTGGTGTTTTGCAGGTATATTCTGTACACCTGACATCGACCCTGTCATCCAAATTGCCAACATGGTCAAGATTCATGGAGAAAAACAACCATTTATACGCAATATATTTACATTGAAGAAATGTGCACCGATTGTTGGATCAGATGTGTTATCCTTTGAGAAAGAGAATGAGTTATTATTGGTATGGACCCCTACTATAAAAATAGAGGTTTTTAGTGAGAATCTTTTCTTGAAAAATAAGATATTTAAATAAGTATTGTTAAGTAATGTTTCATCCAAAATCAACAGGTTTGTCAGAATGGCATCCTTGTGTTCACCAGTGGCTATTCTATTGAATCTGTTATTTCAAGCCAGTTTTGGATGATGATCAACAAATTAACAAACAAGACACAGTGATGCATATTGCACTCTAAATGCTGTGTTTTCAATAACGCCGTCCAAGCATTGAAAAAAACAGTACGTCCCAGGGAAGCAATCTTGGACAAACCTACTGAAAACACACTAAATGAAAATATTTTTTTAGAGCTGGTCAGGTTTTATGCGAGAGGTGGATGCTGATGTAGTGACTGGCTACAATATACAAAACTTTGACTTTCCTTACCTCATAAACCGTGCAAACAATCTTAAGATAGCCCATTTCCCATACCTTGGTAAGATAAAGGACATAAAGACAGTGATAAAGGAGACCATGATCCAATCAAGACAGATGGGGAAGAGAGAGAATAAAGTGGTGAACACAGAAGGCAAGGTGCAGTTTGACCTACTACAGGTGAGTTTATGACTTCTGTTTGCGTATGAATTTTCAATAGGGTTGGATACATTACAATGGCCAGTATTTTTTGGTATAATTATTTTGACTCTAATTTTTGTAAGGAATTTGAAACAGTCAATAACTTCAAGTTAATATTTCAGGTCAATCGGGTTATACATGTCACAGGTATAGTATGGTCTTGTTAAAAAAAGGAGATACTTCTACTGTTATTTCTATCATAAAATGATAAGTGAGGACTGATTTGATAACATATATTTTGTTCAGTGGATTTGCTACTCTGTAAAGTTGCTGTTTTTTATCACACCATCGATGGATCATAGTTGTCATAATCGTTGTGATCGTTATCATGACTGTGATCGTCCCGTTTTTTGTCACTGCCATTTCAGGAAAACCACTCATCAGATTTTCTCCAAATTCGCACACTTGATAGAGGATATCAAGTTCTAGAGCTGATTAACTTTTGGGTGGGCATCTTGTTTTCTGTCAGCCATTTTGAAGAGTTTTCGGAAAATCTTGTCATCGCCATTTCAGGAAAACCACTTGTCGTCCAAATTCGCACACATGATAGAGGATATCAAATTCTAGAGCTGATTAACTTTTGGGCGGCCATCTTGTTTTCTGGTGGCCATTTTGAAGGTTTTTCGGAAAATCTTGTCATCGCCATTTCAGGAAAACCGCTTGTCGGATGGTCTGCAAATTCACACACATAATAGAGGATATCAAGTTCTAGAGCTGATTTACTTTTGGGTGGCCATCTAGTTTTCTGGCAGCCATTTTGAAGGTTTTTGGAAAATCTTGTTATCGCCATTTCAGGAAAACCGCTTGTCGGATGGTCTGCAAATTCACACACATGATAGGGGATATCAAGTTCTAGAGCTGATTTACTTTTGGGTGGCCATCTAGTTTTCTGGTGGCCATTTTGAGGTTTTTGATGGTGTGATCTTGTTCAGGTCATGTGCCTTGTTTAGTTCAGCTTTACATCCTTTTCTGCAGGTGTTACAGAGAGACTATAAACTAAGGTCATACAGTCTGAATGCTGTGTCCTACCATTTCCTCCAAGAGCAGAAGGAAGATGTACACCATTCTGTCATAACAGATCTGCAAGTAAGGAAATATTTATGAGTGTCAGATTGTTAATTAACCTATTTCAACCCCAATCCTAAGGCAAGTTTTGAAAGGGAATACATGTTACTAATATCTTTGATCCTGGTTAGTATCAATGAAAGGTAACTGCCGTTACCTTCACATTTAAGATGGCAGATGGTGTGTAATTTTTATTAGTTTTCATTGAATCAAACTACGACATAATGCTTAGATATTTGATAAATAAAGACTTATATGACATGGAAACTCTAGACTTTGATTAATTGTTCATATATCGTATGTGGGCACCAGAGTTCAACAATATCTTCCACTGCTTAAGGGAAGGTAATTGGAAATGTACGATATGGTAACAGAAATTAAACCAAAATCCCATACTGTATGTTCGTACGTTAAATGCTCATTTGGCATAAAAAGGTCATGTGACTGTTCATATTTTTTTGCTATAGCGAGTTGTTTGTATCGAATGTTTACTTTAGAAAGTTATGAGATCTCACAAGACCTAATATGGCTTCGTCTAGAAATGAAAAATTCCATAAGCTAATAAAACATTGATTAACTCAATCCACAACAGATTTGCGAAGGAACAAAAAAAAGTAGCCATCAACAAATGATTGTATTGATTTAGGTATACACACTACTAAACACACAAATCTTATATGCTGCTACCTAGGGACAAATGAGATATACTTTAGAAATATTCAAGATGGCAGCTATATTTCAAAATGGCCACCATTTTTTGTAAAAATCTTTGGTAACTAAAATACCAGCAAACAGATTTGGTTTAAATTTTAGAAGCTGATATGCTCTGTTCAAGATGGCCACCTATTATCAAAACGTGTTTTGTTCGGTGGGATTTGCTACTCCGTGGAGTTGCTGTTTTTCTAGTTTGATGATAGATCATCATTTTTCGTGTGAAAGTCATGTGAAAAGAGAAAAATGGAAAAAAGAAATAAGAAATGTGACGATCTTTAGATCAAAATTCTTAACTTCAACATTTCCTTCATTCATTATGGACTATTTTGGGATAATACTAGTAGGCCAGGATACAGCATGGGTTTTGGGAAGTTCAAGGGCCACTTGATAGACATAATGTTTCTGAAAGATGACTTCATTTAGCATCAATTCATATATGTCTGGGTCTTTTTAGTTTGTGGACGAAGGATTCTGAGCAGTTTTATTTATGATGATATAGTACCCCCCTGAAATATTATTCTAGGGGGGTCATGCTCAGAATCCTTCGTCCACAAACTAAAAAGACCCAGACATATATGAATTGATGCTAAATGAAGTCATCTTTCAGAAACATTATGTCTATCAAGTGGCCCTTGAACTTCCCAAAACCCATGCTGTATCCTGGCCTATAGTGTAGTGTGATGGGGGAATTACCCACTGCTAGATATTTATTGGGGATGGGCGCTAATTGCAGAGAATATGGTATGTCACAACCAAAAGTGGTGAGATATTGTTATGGTCTCCGCTTTTTGTGACGGTGGTTGGTGGTGGTTACAAGTTCCAATAACTTAACAAATACTGTTTAGACTGACCTTATTCAAAAGCATCTACAAGTTCTAAGAAGTTCAAATCTGACTTTGGATTTGAGATTTTGAGACCTTCCCAAGGTCAAAAAAGGGTCTTTCTTTTCAACTTGCTTCAAATTGACCAATTTTTTCAAAATCAAGTTCTCAGAAGTTCAAATCTGACAACTTGGTGGTGACATTTTGTCATGTTAATACCTTTTAAACTATGTGATATAGAGAAGTTGTCTTTTGGTTTGTCCATCTGTTCAGCTGACCATTTGAAGTATAACTATATTGTTTGACTATCTGAAGAGTGATTTGAATTGAAATTATAGATAGTGAAAAGTGCTTAAACTACCCAAAAACTCATCAGTTTGAATGGATGTCTTGAAGTCAGCTTGAATAATATCTATATCATTTATTAGTTTGACAAATATAACATACTGAAGACATTTAAACCCTAACTTTTAGGGATGCTCAGAAAATGCAGCTTCTATTTCCATCATTAATGTTTAAAGTCAAAAATGGTTATTACCCTCAGTCTGACAGCGTTGTAGTTTTATGCATAAAATGAATTCCAATTTGCAGAATGAAAGTGATCAGACAAGGCGTCGTTTGGCCGTGTATTGCCTGAAAGATGCAATGCTGCCTCTGAAGCTACTGGACAAGTTGATGTCTATCACAAATTACATGGAGATGGCAAGAGTTACTGGTGTGCCCATGTCTTACCTGCTATCTAGAGGACAGCAGATCAAAGTTGTCTCCCAGCTATTGAGACATGTATGCACTCATTTAAATTCTAAATGCCTCTTGCCACTAGAGTCAATTCTACCATTTCCAGATTTTGACTGATTGTGACAATGTACATGATAACTGACAACAATTATGATATAGATGTAGAGGCCAGTGTTTTATGGAATAGTGTGTCATATTGCCTTGTTGGTGAAGGAATAAGCACTATAGCTGCTCAATCAATTCAAAATTTTGTAAAAAATACTCAAATACAAGTTGTGAGATTTGTTTAAGATTGAATGTGCTGATGCCATATTAACTCAGATTAGTGATGTACATGTTCTCCTCTTCTCGTACATGTATTAAATTGTTGACTATGTAACTGTAGGCCATCACCCAGGATTTGGTGCTACCTGCCCACAAGTCTGAAGCTGGGGATGAGTTCACTGGTGCAACTGTCATTGAGCCTGAGAAAGGGTAAGTTACTACCATACAAATGTGTGGTGATATAAGCATACAAATAAGAAGACAGAAATACACATGATGAAGTTTACCCAGATGGCCATGCACTCATTCTTATGTTTTTATCGTACCTAACAAAAGGTACGATATTGTAGTCAGCTTGACGGGCGGGCGGAGGGCGGGTGGCTTCTCACTTTTCAGCTTGTCTACAGGTTTCCAGCCAAAAACCATTTGAGGGATTCATCTGAAATTTTCAGGGATGTTTCTACATATCAACGTCAAGAACTGATTAGTTTTTGGGCATTCTGGGTAAATCTTAGGGTGGCCATTTTGGATTTTCCGTCCTAAAATCTTCACTTTCAAGACTTGTCTACAGGTTTCCAGCCAAACCATTTGAGGGATTCATCTGAAATTTTCAGGGATGTTTCTACATATCAACGTCAAGAACTGATTAGTTTTTGGGCATTCTGGGTAAATCTTTAGGTGGCCATTTTGGATTTTCCGTCCTAAAATCTTCACTTTCAAGACTTGTCTACAGGTTTCCAGCTAAACCATTTGAGGGATTCATCTGAACCTTTCAGGGATGTTTCTACATATCAACGTCAAGAACTGATTAGTTTTTGGGCATTCTGGGTAAATTTTAAGGTGGCCATTTTGGATTTTCCGTCCTAAAATCTTCACTTTCAAGACTTGTCTACAGGTTTTCAGCCAAACAATTTGAGGGATTCATCTGAAATTTTCAGGGATGTTTCTACATATCAACGTCAAGAACTGATTAGTTTTTGGGCAAATTTTAAGGTGGCCATTTTGGATTTTCCGTCCTAAAATCTTTACTTTCAAGACTTGTCTACAGGTTTCCAGCCAAAGCTTTTGAGGGATTCATCTGAAATTTTCAGGGATGTTTCTACATATCAACGTCAAGAACTGATTAGTTTTTGGGCATTCTGGGTAAATCTAAAGGTGGCCATTTTGGATTTTCCGTCCTAAAATCTTCACTTTCAAGACTTGTCTACAGGTTTCCAGCCAAACCATTTCACCCTATGCAGACAGAGCCTGTGGGAAATATTGGGTGCGGAGCAAATGAGCGGAGGGTGCGGAGCTAACGGTCATTTTTGAATTTAATTTTGGGATATTTCTGAAACTAAGCCGTTTTGGGACTTCAAATATACCAAGATATGTGTATTTGACACCAAATATCAATACAATTGTGAAAATAGTAGCGCAATTCATTCTATAGCGACGCAGTGTGCCTTAAACCTTTCCCAGACCTATATATTTTGAAATTATCCTTTTAATACTGAGTCCCCAGCATTCATAAAAAATGGTGTTCAAGGTGCACTATCTATACAAATTATTTTTGCATCTTGGAAGCCAGGCAGTATCTGTGTGATTTTATAAAAATTCGGAAATGTTCTTCAGATATGAGCCCCTCTAAATATTGGGTGCGGAGCAGCTCCATAAACGTAGCTCCGCACCCAATATTTAGAGGGGCTCATATCTGAAGAACATTTCCGAATTTTTATAAAATCACACAGATACTGCCTGGCTTCCAAGATGCAAAAATAATTTGCATGGGTAGTGTATCTTGAACACCATTTTTTATGAATGCTGGGGACGCAGTATTAAAAGGATAGTCTCAAAATATATAGGTCTGGGAAATGTTTAAGGCATACTGCGTCGCTATAAAATGAATTGCACTACTATTTTCACAATTTTACTGATATTTGGTGTCAAATACAGATATCTTGGTATATTTGAAGTCCCAAAACGGCTTAGTTTCAGAAATATCCCAATTTTAAATTCAAAAATGACCGTTAGCTCCGCACCCTCCGCTCATTTGCGCCGCACCCAATATTTCCCACAGGCTCTGTCTGCATAGGGTGCATTTGAGGGATTCATCTGAAATTTTCAGGGATGTTTCTACATATCAACGTCAAGAACTGATTAGTTTTTGGGCATTCTGGGTAAATCTTAAGGTGGCCATTTTGGATTTTCTGTCCTAAAATCTTCACTTTCAAGACTTGTCTACAGATTTTCAGCCAAACCATTTGAGGGATTCATCTGAAATTTGCAGGGATGTTTCTACATATCAACGTCAAGAACTGATTGGTTTTTGGGCATTCTGGGTAAATTTTAAGGTGGCCAATTTTGGATTTTCCGTCCTAAAATCTTCACTTTCAAGACTTGTCTACAGGTTTCCAGCCAAACCGTCCAAATTTTTACATATGTTACACAGTGATAAGTTCTAGAGCTGATTAACTTTTCTGCGGCCATCTTGCTTTCTTGGTCAACAAGACCACAATGCTGTGTTTTAGGTACGATATTGTTCATGTCTGTGCCTTGTTAGCTCACATGGTGGGCTTTTGCAATTATTCACTTGTCCGCCTGTCTGTCTCTCTGTCAGTCTATCTTTCCATCAAAAAAAATAGTGGCACATTCTAAAACCTGTGGATTAGATAAGATTCCCGTTTTAAGTTATTTTTGTTCAACATCAATATCGGAAACCTTGTTATGACTCCTGATTCAAAAGCTCGCCTATTTTCAAAGTGACTGCCATCTTTGTCACACAAAATTCACTTTTAGACCATTGGCTAGGTTCATGAATAATATCATGTGTCTTGCATTGTAAAAGCCCATGTCATTGTAACCAGTAGTTTTATGAAATAATTGTGTAAGAAAAAATTGGCAAAAAGTATTAATATTCGCTTCTTAATTGTCTGCCATTTTTGGATTTAAGTCTTGTCAATAGCTTTAAAGCCAAACCTCTTTCAATATGATTCTAGTTTTAAGTTACTTTTGTTAATTAACAACACAAGAAAACTTCCTATGACTCCTAGTTCAAAAGCTTGCCTATTTTCAATATGCCCACCATTTTTGTCGAGGAAATTCACTTTTGTCTGCCTGTCTGCACTTTTATAACCTTTGTTGATGATTCCCATTTTAAGTTATTTCTGTTCAACATCAATACAGAAATTCCCCTTATAACTCCCAGTTCAAAAATGGCTGCCATTTTTGAAATAATTCCAGGTGTCCTTGCAATGTTAAAACCCATGTAACTGTTAACAATTGTCTTATGATGTAATTTTGTCTGGAATGTTTCTTGGTACAAAAGTTGACAAATGCTTAGTAATTGGACATTCTTGGTAATTTTTTAGGTACCAATTTAGACTTTCTGTCCAGAAAACTGTTAATTCAAGACCATGTGAGCCCAGTACCCCTGGTACTATTTTATTTCCTTACACCTTTTGATTCCTTATTGTTTGCATACTCTCTTTACATTAATTAACCCAAATACATGTACATACTGTACATCCTAATTTTCTGCATGAGAAAAATGCAAATTCTGCGCAGAAATTCTGCATGAAAAAGCCAAATTCTGCACCAAATTCTGCATGAAATCTAAAATTCTGCACCAAATTCTGCATGGGGAAAAGTGAAATTTTGTGGTACAAGTATGTGCAAAAAATGAAATTCTTGCTAAAATCAATAATTTTCTCCACAAAATAAACAATTCTTGAAATCCACTCATGCTGCTTGATTCAGTGATAATGGACAACTACAGTAATAAAACCAGATGCAATGTTAATTAATTAGCGACAAAACTTACCAAATGCTCACTTGTGAACTATCACGAAATTCGAACTATCACGAAATTCCAGATCAATATGCAGGGAATTCAGATGTCGTCTATTAATATATGGCGAAGTAAAACGCAAGAAGAAGCATGATTTATTGCGTTAGAATACCATAAAATACAATATTAGACATATTATTGCGAAACAATTACGAGGGACGGTCATTGGTTTCAAATTTCGCGATTATGTTAGACGCAGTCTTACCTCTAAGTGCAATGGCGGAAGTTCAAGAATTTAAAACAGATTTCAGATTTCCTCTTGAAAATCTGACAAAACACAAGTATCTGACAACAAACGAGCGGAGTCTTTGGGTGTTTAGGTGAGTGAAAAATATGAGATGAGATGGTTGACTGGAAAAATCATGTTTTCCGCGAAATTCCGTGCCAAAACAAAAATTCTGCAAAAATAATGAAAATGCAAATTTCTGCGGTTTTTCTGCGGCGACGCAGAATCACAGAATACTAGTATGAGTGCATGTAGAATAAAACTTGTTTAAACTGATTGCTGCTTTGGCCAACTTAAAGTGTATGATGTATGCAGATTAATGCAGCTATTGTTATTTTCAGCTACTATGACTCTCCTATTGCAACACTAGATTTCTCCTCTCTATATCCAAGCATCATGATGGCCCACAATCTCTGCTACACCTCCCTTCTTCAGACTAACAGCAAAATTAAAGAGGGGTGAGTAGAGTAGAATTGAATTTTGCACTGATTTGAGGAAAGTAAGGGAGAGCACAACACTTCTTCAAATCAACATTTTCATTGATTCTATAAATTTCATTTTACTTTCTTCAGACTGACAGAGGATGAATTCATCAAGACTCCATCAGGGAATTATTTTGTGAAAAGTTCTGTGAGAAAAGGACTGCTGCCAGAAATATTGGAGCATTTACTGTCTGCAAGAAAGAAGTAAGACTTGACATATCAATTGCTATATTGTAGTGTGTTACATACCAAGAGAAGCATTTGTATGGGGAAAGTAGGTGGGCAATATCCACCAGTATTTTGGGACTTGCACACAGATGTGTGACATCATTGATACAAATTAGCCACCGGAATAAAGGTATGTCATACATCATCAGTTTTTTGTTCTTGCCCAAATATAGGGCCTGCCAAGGTCGGCCTATATTGGCAGTATTCGGGCATATTTCACATCATAGTGATGTAATCTTTACATATTGTATTTTGTTTGTTATGAATGTTAGCAATACTTTATGGGTATACTGTATATTCCATATATTTTACAGGCATATTTTGTCACAACTTTTGTGCTGTACTGTCATCCAGGCACATTTTTCATGGTTTGATTTCAAATTTTCAAGGATTTTCTTGAATTGAAAAGTACTGGAACATATGCTACATCTCTTCACAAATTGTTATTATTCCTGACAACAGTTTCAACATAATCAATAAATTGATTTTCCATAGCATTGTATTTTTTTAAATCTGACTAGAGAAAATCTAAGTCGCATATGTATGTGTTTTGATATGAAAATATCCATAAAGTCTAAAGATTTTATAGCAAAGGGTCTATAATCAACATTTTTCAATGTCCTCTATGCTTTCTTATGAAACATATGTGTTCATCACTAATTTATTCGGTGGGTGCATCAGGTAGGGCGTATGCATAGAGATAGTCGCTACGTATTCTGTTTTCTACAGGCATTCCAAACATGTTGTGGCCACCTGCTGTTGTGACAATATACTGTTTTCCACCTACAAGGACAAAATTATTGTTACATAAGAATAATTGTTTATGTCACTTATTAAAGCATACAGCTCACATATAGATATCTGCCTGGTGTTTCATTTGAAAATATAAGTTTCGAAGTCCATCCTTTAAAAAAATTAAAAAGAATATTTAGCTTGTTTTGTAATTTTTGGCTCACACAGTGAGCCTATGGGATCGACCAGGCGTCCGTCCGTTGGTCCGTCCGTCCGTCCGTCAACATTGGCTGCACAAATTAAAACTGCTATTCAGATTGAGTCATATCCACAGTCATTTTATGCATATCCATAATGCCTATTTGACTTATCATCGCCATTTCCCAAGTTCGCCCGGTTTTCGAGAAGTAGAACTTTCAAATAACTTGTAGTAGTTGGTGTATATGCAACTTATGTCCTCTGAAGATTTCAAAGCTCTTGGAATTACAGGTTTTGGTGTTTACTCTATAAAATTTGACAAAAAGTAGGACTATGTCATTTTCAGGAAACTTTCTTATGTATAAAGTCAATGGCAGGTTTTGTGATTGACAAGTTTCTCAAAGTTTGCCTTATACTTGATCATTTCTTGCAATGAATTACATCATAACTAGATTTAAGCATTCCCTACATATTGCTCAGTATATGTCAGCATCAAATTTTTACCATTTTTGAGATATTTGACGTAAAAAAACAGTAAAGATAAGTTATTTTTCAACTTGCTTCAATTTGACCAATTATTTTTTTGAAAATCATCTACAAGTTACCAGGAGTTCAAATCTGACATTAGTTTTAGGATTTGACCTTCAGTGACCTTTGAAAGGTCAAAAAAGTTGATTTTTCAAATTGATTTTTGGATGTAAATTTTGGTCAGCTTAAACACAAAAGACCTTACTGAGCTCTAAATAAGTAAAATTTTCAAGGTCAAAGGTCATCAAACTAGGTCACACAACTGTGCTGTCTAAGTTTCTTAAAGTTCGAGACTACAAATCCAAATCAATATTTTTGTTTGAAAGTCAGGATATACATTCCTCTGAAGGTTCCAAACTGTGTGAGCACAGGACCGTGGGTCCTATTTTTAATACCTCCTTACTTAAGGCTATCTGCAAAGTTGAGAGTTAATGACATTACTTCTTTTCTAGTGAACCATTTGAATTACAATTTAATAACATTTTTTTAGGAGTCACTTTTAAAAAATTCACTTTTAAAGTTATTGTAATACTTATGAATTAAAAGAGTATTATTTTCTTTTAGCCTTATTTATTCAACTACACACTATGTGTTTTAATAGCAGAAATGATTCAGATTTGCCAAACAGGAGTTGTCTTTGCCAGTTAATGACTGCATTATTATAGTGAGTCTTAATGAGAAATCATTCACTTTGTAAATGAGAATTCTGTTTACCTGTTTTATATGTAATGGGTCCCCCTGCTGCATGAGCTGGCATTGGCTGAGCAGATTCATAGAGTGTTGCTCCAGTGTTGATGTCCAGTGCTCTTAGATGTCTGTCCTCTGTATTACATACTATCACTATCCCCCCTGCTGTCAATAGGATACCCCCTCCAGTCCATCTATAAGGAGTTGTATGTCAATGTTAGGTGTGGGCAATATAGGCTATTACAGGGGCAGTTAGTATTTGGCTTATTAAATGGTTCTTTGGAAGATTCATGCTTGGCTAAAACACACTTCATGGCATTCCCATCTCACAATTGTTGAACTGCTTAAATGTACCTTCTGGAGGATCATATAACAATAAAATAACTAATTTGTTGTGCAATATTCAACAAGTTCAGAAGATCTATTTAATAATTCTTTGTATTATTCTCATTCTCTTTTACTCGTATGTTTCCCTCTTATACCCATATTACAAATCCAATACCTGCTACCCTCAGTAGCCTCATCAGCCCCAACATCAGGTGTATACCCATTAGTTACACTCCATAGCTGGCGTCCATTCTCTAGATCAACTGCAGTGAGCTTAGCCCAAGGTGGTCTATGGCAGGGCTCTGTGTCAGCAGTGTCGTCCATCATGTTCCATGCAGTACACTCCCAGTAAGGCATGTCTATTGGCTGGTTAAGGCTCTTGCACCATTCAGGGGCCAGCTCTGGGAGCATACCATTGGGCACCAGCTGAACAACTGAAGTCAGTGTGGACTATTTGAATATCTATACAGTGGCGCATATGTCGATTTTGCCCATTGAATGTTGTCATTTTTACTTGATTGTGTGAAACACACATTGGTGGCTGTTTTGTTTTGTTTTCTATTAAATAGGTATTTTTTAATATCTCATCGAACAAAGTTTGGGGGGATATAGAGAATACCTCCCTCCATCCATCTGTCAGGGCCATAACACTTATTCTGATGGCCCAATATTCTTTATATTTTATACGCATATGCCTTGTGAGTACAAAATCTGTTCGAAAGCCAATTTTGAAAATGGCCACTGGATTCAAAATGGCCAACATTTTAGTGTTGATTTAAAGGTGGTGGCTATTAAAGGTGGTGGCTATTAAACATGCATTTTTACGATTTTTGCTGTAACTCAAAAAGTTGTGGATTGATTTTGTTTATATTTTATATGTGAATACATGGAAACAAGGGTACACCGTTTTATGATTAGGCTAGTCATTGGCCATTTTATGTTTGTTACGTATTCTTTGCTACAATTGGAAAAGTAGTAGAGCTATTTTGTTGAAATTTTAATTATGAAGATTAGGAAGCGTATTACAGTATGGTATGTCATTTTGGCGATTAGACAGACATTTTGAAAATGGCATACAATGAAAATGGCCATTTTGTGTGTTTTTTGCTTGAACTTAGAAGGTGGTAAATGGATTACTAGTAAGTTGAAATTTTATATGTGAATACCTGGAAGCATTTATTTACACTGTCTGTTTGGCCAATTATTGGTTATTATTATCTCATCGAACAAAGTTTGGAGGGAAATAGGGAAAAATGGCCGCCCATTTTAACGTATTTTACAATAACTCGAAAAGTAGTGGAGCGATTTTGTTCATATTTGGTATGTGAATACTATAAGCATGGCACACTGTCTAATTACACTTTTGGTAGAAATACATTTTAATATATTTTACTATAACACGAAAAGTAGTGGAGCATTTGGTATGTGAACACTATGAGCATGGCACACTGTCTAATTACACTTTTGGTAGAAATACATTTTAATATAATTTACTATAACACGAAAAGTAGTGGAGCATTTGGTATACATTACACTATAAGCATGGCACACTTTCTAATGACACTTTTGGTAGAAGGTGGCCATTTTGAAAAATGGCCGCTATTTTTGCTATATACTTTGTTTGTAAAAATGCCAGCCATGGCTGTTCGATGGGATTTGCTACGCTTTGGCGTGGCTGTTGTCTAGTTTTGTGTTGTTTTACTTTTATACAATATCTGGTTTACATAAAAAATACTTCCCAAAAGAGTCTGTATTTATTAACATAGGAGGCCTTACTTTTTCGCCATTTGTTAAGATTATTTACTGACCTCCTGGGTGGTTGTTTAGAGATACAACTGTGATACTCCTCACAGGATCCAGTGCTACTGTGCCACCCAGATTCATGCCCCCGTGATTGCCAGGTACCCAGATCTCCCCTGCTGTAGTAGTAGCGGGATTATATATCTGCAAACAGAGAACTTTGTATAAATGGTTGAGAAGGGATATCTTCTTTTTCAGTTCTAATGAATTTGAACATTTCTGGGCAATTTGTGTATCTTTAATCTTCATGAACTTCTTTATCAATTTTTTCAGAAATAGAAATTAGGATTTTGAAGAAAACATTAGCATGCTTTTTGGAGAGATTGCATCCATTATTTTACACACTCTATCCCTTTTTATTCCTTCAAGGCAAACATATATTCTGGGAATATACACGTAATTACTAATCAAGTCTTAAAATTGTTTGCTCAGAGCTGCTGTGTGGTTGTTTAGAGAGATACAACTGTGATACTCAGATCATCAGATGAATCTAATACTAACTAACTAATATTGGATCACTTAAATGTTCTTCATCAAAAAGTAACTTGTAAGTTATGTATTTATGACATATGCCAATTAATTTTGACACAAGAATTTTATTCCTCACAAAGCCAAACTTTTCCCATATTGCATTTCAATTTGGAATAAAAAGTTTGATTGGTTGATTGACATTTTTATCTCACCGAATGAAGTAAATATATAAGAAAAACCATCTGTTCTTCCGTCCGTCCGTTTGTTTGTCTGGCCGATAACTCAAATACCAGTTGATGGATTTGATTAAAATTTATAGGCTTATGGGTATGTGCCTTATGCCTTATACAACCTCTGCTCGAGAAGGAATTTTCACACAGTGGCTCTAGTCAAGTAAAAATTTTCAAGATGACGACTGAATTTCAAAATGGCCGCCATTTTTCGTTAAAAATATAATCTTTGATAGCTCAAATACCAATAAGCGGATTTGTTTCAAATTTTCATATTTCCATTTAGGTCCTAGATCTAGTTTCTCGGAAATTGGGTCAAATTGTTATCTAGGTCAAAGGTCAAAAACTAGGTCAAATCTTACATTTTCAACATTCTGTCATTTATCTTCGTCATTGTTTATCGTACCTCCTAAATCTTTTTTTCATCATGTAGCTTAGAAAAAGCCAAAGCAAAGATATGACATTAGATTTTTGATTACGCTTAACGATTTTGAAATATGGCGTCCAGAAAGTAGGTCACAATAAAAAGTTCTCCAAATTTAACATATGAGTTATGAATTAAGGGTAGAATTTTCACAGGAATCCGAATCTGCAAACCAAATTTCGATCCGACTTCCGGTTCAAAAGTTATGACATTTTAAAACTTTTTTTTAACCTGCCAATAAGCACGCGCAAGATCGAACAAATCAATATGATGGTATCCTGATAGAAAGTCAAGAGTAGTGAAGAAAATATTGAAAAATCCTTCCATCCATCCTATCTATCCTATCCTATATCCTATCCTATATCCTATCCTATATCCTATCCTATATCTATCCTATATCCTATCCTATATCCTATCGTATATCCTATCCAATCCTATCCTTCTTTCCTATCCTATCCTTCCTTCCTATCCTATCCTACCCTTCCTATTCTGTCCTATCTTATTCTTTATTCGGATTCTATCGTATCCTATTCTATCCTTCATACCCTATACTATCCTATCCTTTCTTCCTATTCTATCCTATCCTTCCTTCCTATTCTGTCCTATCCTTTCTCCTATCAATCCATCCATTCATCCATCAGTCCAGCCATCCACCTGCTTATTCTGGATGACTCGGCTTATGCTGGATGACTCAGCTTATTCTGGATGACTCAGCTTATTCTGGATGACTTGGCTTATTCTGGATGACTCGGCTAAAAAAGGTCTTAATCTGGAGTCTGAAATTGAACTTGTTCAATTTCCAAAGTCTAGTTATGATTATTGCTGCCATAAGCTGCATTTTTGCGTATGTTTTCTGGGCATGAGAGTGTACTTACTCTGCCATCTGGATTGATCCCATCCATGAATTCATTCTCACAGTAGATCTCTCCTTCGATGGTCCTCCCCCAGAGGTCCTGGCCAGCCCTCATGTTGATGCTCTCAGCAGACATTCTCAGATAGTCATCTACAGGGAATGGTTGAGTAGGGCTCACTATTTCTCCAGGAACCTGAACGCAACACATGTACAATATATTGTACACATGTACAATACATGTACAATATATTACCAACTAATCTAAATGGTTATGGTCATTTTGAATATTTTGTTGTAAAGGCAAAAATCAATTTACTGGGCTGCATTAATGGCAAACTGGTTATGCCGGAAGTCAGGACCTGAACTTAAAAGGTATGTTACTTTATTTTGAATTCACTTTGAAGAAATTTCAATGAGGCCACTAAGTTCAAATTGCCAACATTACAACATTCTCCTTTATGTGGCTCACACACATTCCTACCCTGCCCACAGAGTCTAGTTATAAACTACCCTCTGCCTAGTACAGACTATATTAGCAGCCCCATCCCAAAGATTGGTGCCTGTTACAGCCCGGGTAATAAATCATTTCAAATCTACCACATTGACCATTTCCCAACCAATCAGCGAAGTGGAAGGAACGCATGCTTAATACATGCTCATTAACTATGCTGTGATGTCATAGGAAATGACCATATAGAAAGTCATTCGTATTTTGACGACGAACTCTGATTGGCTCGCTGAGATCAGAGATTTATTGTAAACTGAAAGAGTGAAGAAGAAGCTCTCTTTTAAGAAGTGAAGTTGAACGAATGCAAAGGGTAACATAGGTCTCTCCTTTATGGGGAATTTACCAAACTGTTCCACAAACAGGTCTCTCCTTAATGAGGATCTTACCAAACTGGCCCTTATACAAGTCTCTCCTTTATGGGAAACTTACCAAACTGGCACAAATGCATGTCTCTCCTTTATGCGGAACTTACCAAATTGCCGCTTAAACAGGTCTTTTCTTTATGTGGAATTTACCAAACTAACTCACATTCAGGTCTCTCCTTAATGGGGAACTTACCAAACTGGCTCTCATACAGGTTTCCTTAATTGAAAACTTACCAACTGACCCTTTTACAGGTTTCCTTAATTGGGAACTTACCAAACTGGCCCTTATACAGGTTTACTTAATTGGGAACTTACCAAACTGGCCCTTATACAGGTTTCCTTAATTGGGAACTTACCAAACTGGCCCTTATACAGGTTTCCTTAATTGGGAACTTACCAAACTGGCCCTTATACAGGTTTCCTTAATTGGGAACTTACCAAACTGGCCCTTATACAGGTTTCCTTAATTGGGAACTTACCAAACTGGCCCTTATACCGGTTTCCTTAATTGGGAACTTACCAAACTGGCCCTTATACCGGTTTCCTTAATTGGGAACTTACCAAACTGGCCCTTATACATTGGGAACTAGGCAAACTGGCATTTATACAGGCCTCCCCTTATGCCTGGTTCATATTTGTGGTGATTCATCACCTGGCTCTGGCCAATTGAGTATTTTGTTCAAAACTGAATATAATCTTGAACAAAGTCCTCAATCAGCCATGTGCCATTCAATGAATAGCCGCAAATGTGACCCAGGCATTAATGGGCAACTTTGAAAACTGGCTCATATAAAGGTCTCTCTTATATTTGGAACTTACAGTACTTGCTGGTACAGGCCTCTCCTCTATTGGGAATACAGGCTCTCCAGTCAGGGCATCCAGCACAAACAAGAAACCCATCTTGGTACCCTGAATATAAGGGAAGCAAATTATTATATTGCCTCAGTGGCTACAAGGGTCCTTGGCATTATACATTGATAAATACAGGTACTCCATTCCGTTATACAGTAAAATAACAATATACTAATCTAGCAATGTTGTTGGCCTATCTAGGTTGAAAAAAGTTTTTATCGAACCATTTTCCTAGGCTTATGACTGGATTTCTTGCTTATTTTTCAACCAAATTTATGAAATTTTCAACACAAAATAGGTTAGGATGTAAGTTATGGGTTGATTTTAAAGTATTGCTTAACAATATGTTTGTGACAACTGTTATTTTTGTTTGAAATAAATTCACAATTTGTTGTACTTTTCCATGTTTTAACTGCTATTAAATTAAATTTGAATTGAAGTTTCATATATCACATTTTGATATCATTAGGTAAGCCAAAGTGGTTTAAACTTTATATTGGGCCTTTAAAAGTTTGCTTCTTATATTTTACACTCTCTATCCTTTTTATTAATTCATTTATATAAACATGGCATACCTGTAGTACAACCTTCCGTCTTTCACCTCCACGAGTTATGATACCTACTGTAGGTTGGGCATTAAGATCCTAGAATAAGATAAATGGATGCTATTTTTATTTTCATGTCTAGTAATTTATTGTAAGGAAGGAATTAACTTATCAAACATTTTCCCTTTACTGACTGAGCTTTCATAATTGTTACTCACATAGTCTCATATGTCACCAGCTTTCATAATTGTTACTCACATAGTCTCATACTGTCATCAGCTTTCATAATTGTTACTCACATAGTCTCATACTGTCATCAGCTTTCATAATTGTTACTCACATAGTCTCATATGTCATCAGCTTTCATAATTGTTACTCACATAGTCTCATACTGTCATCAGCTCTCATAATTGTTACTCACATAGTCTCATATGTCACCAGCTTTCATAATTGTTACTCACATAGTCTCATATGTCATCAGCTTTCATAATTGTCACTCACATAGTCTCATATGTCACCAGCTTTCATAATTGTTACTCACATAGTCTCATATGTCATCAGCTTTCATAATTGTTACTCACATAGTCTCATATGTCACCAGCTTTCATAATTGTTACTCACATAGTCTCATACTGTCATCAGCTTTCATAATTGTTACTCACATAGTCTCATACTGTCATCAGCTTTCATAATTGTTACTCACATAGTCTCATATGTCATCAGCTTTCATAATTGTTACTCACATAGTCTCATACTGTCATCAGCTCTCATAATTGTTACTCACATAGTCTCATATGTCACCAGCTTTCATAATTGTTACTCACATAGTCTCATATGTCACCAGCTTTCATAATTGTTACTCACATAGTCTCATACTGTCATCAGCTTTCATAATTGTTACTCACATAGTCTCATATGTCATCAGCTTTCATAATTGTTACTCACATAGTCTCATATGTCATCAGCTCTCATAATTGTTACTCACATAGTCTCTCTCATGTGTCATCAGCTTTCATAATTGTCACTCATATAGTCTCATATGTCATAAGCTTTCATAATTGTCATTCATAGTCTCATACTGTCATCAGCTTTCATAATTGTTAATCACATAGTCTTATATGTCATCAGCTCTCATAATTGTCACTCACATAGTCTCTCTCATATGTCATCAGCTTTCATAATTGTCATTCACATAGTCTCATATGTCATCAGCTCTCATAATTGTCACTCACATAGTCTCATACTGTCATGAGCTTTCATAATTGTCACTCATAAAGTCTCATATGTCATCAGCTTTCATAATTGTCATTCACATAGGCTCATATGTCATCAGCTCTCATAATTGTCACTCACATAGTCTCATACTGTCATCAGCTTTCATAATTGTCACTCATATAGTCTCATATGTCATCAGCTTTCATAATTGTCACTCACATAGTCTCATATGTCATCAGCTTTCATAATTGTCACTCATATAGTCTCATATGTCACCAGCTTTCATAATTGTTACTCACATAGTCTCATATGTCATAAGCTTTCATAATTGTCACTCACATAGTCTCATATGTCATAAGCTTTCATAATTGTTACTCACATAGTCTCATATGTCATCAGCTTTCATAATTGTTACTCACATAGTCTCATATGTCATCAGCTCTAATAATTGTTACTCACATAGTCTCATATGTCATCAGCTTTCATAATTGTCACTCATATAGTCTCATATGTCACCAGCTTTCATAATTGTTACTCACATAGTCTCATATGTCATCAGCTTTCATAATTGTCACTCATATAGTCTCATATGTCACCAGCTTTCATAATTGTTACTCACATAGTCTCATATGTCATCAGCTTTCATAATTGTCACTCACATAGTCTCATATGTCATAGGCTTTCATAATTGTTACTCACATAGTCTCATACTGTCATCAGCTTTCATAATTGTTACTCACAGTCTCATACTGCCATGAGCTTTTATAATTGTTACTCACATAGTCTCATACTACCATGAGCTTTCATAATTGTTACTCACATAGTCCCATATGTCATGATGGACCAGCTGTTTGAACCAGACCAAGGCCCCCGTAGTGGCATTAAGGGCAACCACAGAGTTGCAGTAATGGTTATCCCCTGGTCTGTGAATACCTTGGTGCTCTCCTGAGGCTGAGGAAGTGGGGGCATAAACAATACCTACAAACCATATAATAGTCTTCATTTGTCAAAGCCTACTTACAGTGTAGCCTGTCTTCAAATTTAATATAGTATAGAAAACTATGAGAATTTATTGTTCCTTGTTCTTTTGTTCCTTTTGTAATCCTGTTCATATAAATCAGCTTTTTTATGTAGTTCCAAAATAACTTTCCACTAGCTTAGCTCTAATGTTTGCATCACTCACATTATAATGTGATGCAATAGCTTTGTGTAATTATATTTTCCTAATGTTTCCCTTGGGGTATCCAATTCATCATTAAATGTTTTACCTAGTTCAGAATCACCACTTAGTGGAGCCCATGCATTCCCTGAGCCAACTCCATCAGTAGTTCCATTGAGCCAAGTGGCCATGGCAGGGTCATTAGGGTCAGTTGGGATGATTGTGAAGTTCCATACATTAGCCCCAGTTCTTGCATTGAATGCAGGGAGCAGTCCCTTAGGCGTGTTCATGACGAAGTTGTCATTAATGCCTGAAAACAGTAGAAACAAAAATGCTTTTTGTTCGATTTACTGGTACATGCAAAATGATGAGTGATTAAAAATAAAATATGTTTTGTTCGATGGGGTTTGCTACTCTGGGGAGTTTCTGTTTTTTACATCACCACCAGAAGTGGTGACATATTGTTATAGTCTCCAACTTTTTTTGGACGGCAGTTGGTGTTTGGCGTCTGTTGCAGTCACCTGTAACAAATGTCAGGTAGTGACATTTTGCATGTTAATGGCTTGTTATGACATGTTATGTCCAAAAGGAGACGATGTAACTGCCCAGTTATTTCTGTCATTAAATGTCCTTGATGAATATGTTTGTCCGGTGTGATTTGCTATTTTAGAGAATTGCTGTTTTTATGTCACCACCAGAAGTTGTGACATACTGTTAAAGTTTCCAACTTTTTTGTGGATGGAGGTTGGTGTTTGGCATCTTTGACAAGTTTTTTACGGAGTCTGTAATAAATGGCAAGTGTTGACATTTTGCATATTAATGCCTTGTTCACTTCACATTGAAGTTATCATTACAATATTATGCCAAGAACAATCAGTCTAACATTGTAGATACTATAGTATACTACTATTGTAGATACTATAGTACTCATGCAAGATAGAGCTTTCAGTGTCAAATAATGTGGCACAGACAAAATCCAGTCTCCAAATCGATAAGTGTGTCAAAGGATCAACCTTTTTATTAGCTCACATGGTGAGCTTTTGCAATCACTCACTTGTCCATCTGTCTGTCCGTCCGTCCGTCCGTCCGTCCGTCAACAATAGTGGCACGTTTTGAAACCTCTGTCTATAGGATTCCTGTTTTAAGTTATTTCTGTTCAAGATCGATACAGAAAACTCCCCTATGACTCCTGGTTCAAAAGCTCGCCTATTTTCAAAATGGCCGTCACTTTTGTCTCGCGAAATTCACTTTTCACCCATTTCCTAGCTTTACAAATAATTTCAGGTGTCCTACACTGTAAAAATCCATGTCAATGTAAAGGGTAGATATATGTTATAATATTGTTACAAAAAATCAGCTAAAAATTATATGCATTTTTTTATTTTCAGCCATTTTAGTTAACATTGATTTGTCTATCTTACTCGCGAAATCCACTTTTCGTCAATAACAGTGGCACGTTTTAAAACCTCTGTCGATAGGATTCCTGTTTTAAGTTATTTCTGTTCAACATCAATACAGAAAACTCCCCTATGACTCCTGGTTCAAAAGCTCGCCTATTTTCAAAATGGCCGCCATTTTTGTCTCGCGAAATTCACTTTTGACCCATTTCCTAGCTTTACAAATAATTTCAAGTGTCCTACATTGTAAAAATCCATGTCAATGTAAAGAGAAGATATATGAAATAATTTTGTTACGAGAAATCAGCGAAAAATTATATCCATTTTTTTATTTTGAGCCATTTTAGTTAACATTGATTTGTCCATCTGTCTCGCAAAATCCACTTTTGGACCATTTACCTTAAACCCTCTGTCGATAGGATTCTCGTTTTAAGTTAATTTTGTTCAACATCAATGCAAAAAACTCTCCTATGACTCTTGGTTCAAAAGCTCGCCTATTTTCAAAATGGTCGCCATTCTTGTTTCGCGAAATTCACTTTTTGCCCATTTCCTAGCTTTACAAATAATTTCAGCTGTCCTGCATTGTAAAAAGCCATGTCACTGTAAAGAGTAGTTGTATGAAATAATTTTGTTAGAAAAAATCGGCAAAATATTATATCTGTTTTTTTATTTTCAGCCATTTTAGTTAACATTGATTTGTTCATCTGTCTCGCGAAATCCTCTTTTGGACCATTTACTTAAAACCCATCTTCGCACGCTCGGTCTTCACTGCGTTCATCGACCGACGGGAGCCGAGTGAACGAAGATGCTTAAAACCTCTGTCGATAGGATTCCAGTTTCACGTTATTTTTGTTCAACATCAATACAAAAAAACTCCCCTTTGACTCCTGCTTCAAAAGCTTGCCTGATTTCAAAATGGTCATCATTTTTGTCTCGCGAAATTCAATTTTGGCCCGTTTCCTAGCTTTACAAATAATTTCAGGTGTCTTGCATTGCAAAAAGCCATGTCATTGTAAAGAGTAGTTGTATGAAATAATTTTGTTCCAAATAATTGAAAAAAAATTATATCCGTTTTTTTTTCAGCAATTTTACTTAACATCGATTTGTCCATCTGTCTCTCCGTCAGTCCAAAATAGTGGCAAGTGGCTTGAAATAATTTTGTTACAAAAAATCAGCAAAAAATTATATCCGTTTTTTTCTGTCACCATGTGAGCCCAGTACCCACGGTACTAATTTTTTAACAAAGTGGCCTTATATGTCCAATTTGTATCTTATTTGCCCTTTGATGAGTCTTATTACTGCTAAAGGGTAAGGTTTACGCCTACCTTGACCGATGACGAGTGTATCACCAACAACTGCAGGAGGGTTATGGTACGATATACACTGACCTCTCCCTTCACAGTCCCAGTTATCAAGGATCAAACTTATAAAACCCTAAAAGTTGTAATAAATTTGCATACATTTATTCAGAAGCACATGTTGGTTATGGAAGTGTTCTTATCATTTCTGAATTCATCATTTCAATAGTTGACTATGGGTTCTGTGATAATTCAATATTGAAATCTTCATCTCATTAATTTTATATGGACCCCTATATTCATAATAGTTTAAATGATGAATAAGTCATACTCCATCACCAAAGTCAGGGCACAGTTGTCCAGTAGCAGCATCAGCTGCCATCATCCTCAGGTCAAGAGTAGGGATATAGAGCACTCTCTTACAAAGGGATCCTTCTGTCTTCTGTGGATCAAGCCATGTAGCAATACCCCGACATGTTCTGAAGTAAATTTAAGAATTTTGTTTAGGCATTTAATAAGAAAGCTTCTGCACAGTTTTCTGCACACATCAAGGTTGTGTCCTTTCCCTGGGGGGTTCACTGTATACACAATTCTAAACTAACCTAAACTACTGTAAAAAAACATATTGTCATAGCAATATGTTTTAAATGTAAAACAATTATATAAGACAAGATAAGATAGTACTTTATTGTTCCGTATCTCCTTCTGGAGTATTGGTCATTTACAATAAAGAAACATGCATACATAGAATAAAGGTATAATATATATGGTTGTTTACAATGAGGAAACATGCATACAAAGACACAAAGGGTATAGTAATATTTATGAGCAGTATATAAATGAGATAATCATATTGCTTGCTTACTTGCCATCACCTTTCTTTTGGAACCATTTCAGCAAATAATTTTTATTTCTCAGTATTTTATGAGTGTCAACAATGGCTGCCATTTTTTGCTATATACTTTGTTTGTAAAAATGCCTACCATGGTTGTTCGATGGGATTTGCTACGCTTTTGGCGTTGCTGTTGTCTAGTATTATTTGCATACAATACCACTGCATGGATATTTCTATCATACAAACTTTAAGATGACAAGTGAGTTCTTGATATGTTTTTAACTTCTTGCATCAATTTTAGAGGAATAGAAATCCTAAATATTTTCTCTATTGGGAGTGCATAAACACCTCATTGTCTGGACAGTGCACTTTTTGTCACATAAAATAATAAAAGATGTACTATAATCATTTTTATGTCCCCACCACATAGTGTGGGGCCATATTGTCGGCATAGGCGCATCCGTCTGTCTGTCTGTCCATCTGCCCGTCCGTCTGTCCGTACGTACGGCAGTTTTCTCCAAAACCGCTACAGATATCACCTTCAAATTTTCAGGGATAACTTATGAGTGCATATAGATGTGGATGAAAAAAAATTAGCTCGATAGCTACTTCCTGTCGGCCATTTTGAAGTCAAATGCTAAAATCCTTGTCTGCAAACTTTAAGAAAAATGGCTTCACAGTTGCTTTTAAAACTTTAACATCTTGTTCAGCTCACTTCATTCTAGATCTGATTAGGTTTTGGACCTGTTAGCTCAGTCATGTCAGCCATTTTGTATGTTTGAAGAAAAGTTAGCGCACGATAATACTTTGTATCATATTGAATGGTGTTTTTCAGTTTTCATACTTTAACTATTTAGTAGCTTTATAAATAATTTCAGGTGTACTTTGTTGTAAAAGCCTTGTTATTGTTAACAGTAGTAATATGTGATAATTTTGTAAAAAGAAATCAGCAAATAATCACTTTTTTATTGTCGGCCATTTTGGATTTTTCTGTCCTAAAATCTTGTCAGTAAAGTCTTGTCTACGCGTTTCAGGTGAACCGTTTGGTAGATCAATTTCAAATTTTCAGGGATGATTCTTAGTATGAAAATCTAGATCTGATTAGTTTTTGGGCATTCTGGGTAAATGTCAAGGCAGCCATTTTGGATTTTCTGTCCTCAAATCTTGTCTATAAAGTTTTGTTTACATGTTTTCTGGTTAACTGTGTGACGGATCAATTTCAAATTTCCAGGGGTGATTCTTAGTATGAAAATCTAGAACTGACTTATTTTTGGCATTCTGGGTAAATTTCATGGTGGCCATTTTGGATTTTCCGTCCTCAAATTGTGTCGGTAAAGTCTTGTCTACTCATTTTTAGGATAACCATTTGACGGGATCACCCATAGGTGGGGACATTTTGTACACATTTGTGTTCTTGTAATGATTTACCCTCCTCTCTCTGTTTGTGCCCCATCATTGTTCCTCCAAACCTCTGCACCTGTTGCTGGGTTCACTGCTACTATTGCCCTCCATGGTGTACACAAATATAGAAGATCACGATCTGAAGAGAATAATAACTAAATGTTACACTCTTGTTTTGAATTATTATCATCATCATCTATCATGTTGGTAATTGTAACAAGCCATTTTTTACCATTAAGCCTAAATAAGTAGAGAAAAATCATTTTGATTTTGATCATATTCATTCTGAATATTCTTAATGAAATTCTGAATGTTTTAGAACTAAAATGCTCATGTTTTTAGAAATCAACTCACTATTGCCAGAACCATCATCTACCATTATTGGTGTAGATTGGTGAGTGTATGCAAGGAAGTCATAATCATAGCCCCATGGACTAGGCCCATATCTACAAAATGTACACTTAACACATAATTTCAATATATAAAAAGAATTGAGATATCTGATAAATTCTAAGGTAACATTTACGAATTGGTGGTAGATTTTGTTCATATTTAAATGAGTCCCCATAAAATAGTGGGTCCATCCGTCAGCTGGCAGTTGAATTTGTGTATGCTACTTTGGTCTAGGACTCATTAGCTTCTGAGCATACTGGGTAAATTTTAAAGTGACTTTTTATTTCCCAGATTCTTATTGTATTATGTAACGTAATCATGATAGCTATACATAATCACATATTGAGATTCTTCTCAGGGGTTTGATATTTTTACTTGGTGTCTTGCTATAGTTTTCAACAATTCATTACCTGAATGTCCATGCTACTTCTAGATTGGCCACATTAGATGCATTGATGTCAGTCATTTCAGAATATCTGGATCCTCCAACTGGACCTCCATAATGTTCCCAATACACTACAAACATTTATTTTTGGAAATATTGTGAGAAAAGAAAACATGCTATACATAAATGATGAATCTGAAAGACATTGGTGCCATGTAAGACAATAATCATTATGATATAACACTGAATTCTATTTATGAGTTCAAGTTAAGAGTAAAGAAAGAGAGAGAGAGAATTAGAGTTTTGGGCTACTTGCTGTATAGGACCTCGATTCTGAAGTGTCAGTAGAATTGCCATATAGACTAAATTCATCGTGGATGTAACATCATGAAGATAATCTGCATGAAATTGCCATTTTGAACTGAACTCTCTCATGAGTGTAGTATTGTGTACTTGTGTAGTGGTAATTTTGATTTACCACGATGGACTTAGCCCAGCATAACTTAGACATATTGTTCCTTAGAAATATAATTAAAATATACACAAATCTGAAGGTGAAGAAGTTATCAAAATTTCCAAAACAGGATGCACATGTTTTTGGCTCACTACAGTGAGCCTATGGGATCGACCAGGCGTCCGTTGGTCCGTACGTCCATCTGTCCGTCCGTCCGTTGGTCCGTCCGTCCGTCTGTCAACATTGGCCGCACAAATTAAAACTGCTATTCGGATTGAGTCATATCCACATTCATTTTATGCATATCCATAATGCCTATTTGACCTATCATCGCCATTTCCCAAGTTCGCCCGGTTTCTGAGAAATTGCGGATTTTGACATCAAAAAGTCAAATTTTCTGTAAATACTAGACACTTTGTTGAAGTAGAACTTTCAAATAACTTTTAGTAGTTGCTGTATATGCAACTTATGTCCTCTGAAGATTTCAAAGCTCTTGGAATTACAGTTTTTGGTTTTTACTTCATAAAATTTGACAAAAAGTAGGACTAAGTCATTTTCAAGAAACTTTCTCATGTATAAAGTCAATGGCAGGTTTTGTGATTGACAAGTTTCTCAAAGTTTGCCTTATACTTGATCATTTCTTGCAATGAATTACATCATTTCTAGATTTAAGCATTCTCTACATATTGCTCTATATATGTCAGCATCAAATTTTTACTGTTTTTGAGATATTTGACGTCAAAAAACAGTAAAAATAAGTTATTTTTCAACTTGCTTCAATTTGACCAAATTTCTTTTGAAAATCATCTGCAAGTTGCCAGGAGTTCAAATCTGACATTAGTTTTAGGATTTGACCTTATACTTGATCATTTCTTGCAATGAATTACATCATTATTAGAAGCATTCCCTACATATTGCTCAATATATGTCAGCATCAAATTTTTACTGTTTTTGAGATATTTGACATCAAAAAAAAGTAAAAATAAGTTATTTTTCAACTTGCTTCAATTTGACCAAATTTCTTTTGAAAATCATCTACAAGTTGCCAGGAGTTCAAATCTAACATTAGTTTTAGGATTTGACCTTTATTTGACCTTCAGTAGCCTTCGAAAGGTCAAAAAAGTTGATTTTTCAAATTGATTTTTGGATGTAAATTTTGGTCAGCTTAATCACAAAAGACCTTACTGAGCTCTGAATTAGTAAAATTTTCAAGGTCAAAGGTCATCAAACTAGGTCATACAACTGTGCTATCTAAGTTTCTCAAAGTTCGAGACTACAAATCCAAATCAATATTTTTGTTTGAAAGTCAGATATACATTCCTCTGAAGGTTCCAAACTGTGTGAGCACAGGACCGTGGGTCCTTCATTTATTAGTACGTTTTATCTTTCAGTTTGACTTTGTCTCAATTTATAAGTTCCACCTATCATTTATCAGAATAGAAACACTAGACGTATTGAAAAAATCATTTTAACCTTCTGGAAATATGACAGATAAATAGAGAAAAGAAAGCTTTTAGTTTGAAATCTAAGTGGAAATACTTTAATTGAATGAACATCATACCTGACTGTGTAATTACATAGGGAATGTAGAAAATAAGTGCAAGAAGATGAGGAGTCCAAGTCAGCATTGTGATATTGTGTCCCAAATCAGTCAATCGTTGCTGCCTGTGTGACTAAGTCAGTCTGCTTCAATTTTTAGTATTTGATAAGTAACATGTTGTGCCATTCCCATCATATCACGGGAGCCATATATGTAAAATGTGATATGAAAATAACTTAAATGTTACAAAAAATAATGACCTGGTTTATTTATTTACATCAAATGAAATAATAGATTACAACAAAAGAAACTTAAATGAATCACACTACATTAGATATCAGATATTCTCATCATAAAATTTAGATCTAGTACGTTCAGAACAAACATGGGAAAATACTCTATTACTAAGACAGGCCCAGACTTGTGGAACACTTTACCTCATAAAATTGCTTATTCTAATACTCTTTCCACCTTCAAAAAGAATTTAAAAATGCACTTGCTCAACAATCATTACTTAATCAAAGTCTAACTTTTCTGGAGACAAATCTCTGGTGTAAAAATTTACTTTTATAGCATGGATAGAGGAGGATGGAGGATGGGACCTACCAAATGTGAAATATTTAGTGTCAATCTTTAATTCTAATGTGCATTGATTTCTTGTATGAGTTTTGGTACTTGTAAATATTTTTTGTTTGGGGTGTCTTCCACTGTTGTGATTGTATTTGTATTATTTGGAATTTGGAAAGAAAATAAATACAGATAAAAAGATAAAATGATATTAAGTCAATATAATATATCAGATATATTATATGAATTTGATTAACATGAGAATAATCCCAATATCTTGAACCTCATATAGGATAATCTATATTTATCCTTTAGGTTGATATGATATCTTTCTTTGGTCCCTTCTGTCCCTTCATATCATCCTTCTGGAATTCAGGAATCTATTAATTATATTGAGATGATAGCCTATAACAATGATTTGATAAATGATTATTTTATTCTAGAGCTAAGGCTGACTTGAAGAAAGCTACAGATCCATTTGTGAAGAGTGTGCTGGATGGCAGGCAACTAGCTTTGAAGATAAGTGCTAACTCGGTCTATGGCTTCACAGGAGCGCAAGTGGGCAAGCTGCCATGCTTAGAGATATCCCAGGTAATGAAAAATTCTGACATTGTTTTCTAAACTATTAATGATCAAAATATTTAAGCCTGGTAAGATTTTTGTGCTACTCTGCATCAATGATATTTTAGGTGGGTTAAAACATTAAATCCGCATTTCCACTTATCTCAGGAATTCAGGAGCAGAACACTTATGTAATAGCTAGCATGTAACCCTTATCCTTTACCACATGAATTTTGAGATTGTAGAGTATCTTATAGCTCACATATATTTTAGAGTGTCCACAAGCTCAAAGTGATTAATAGTTCACATGTATTTTCAAAGTGATTAAGAGCTCACATGTATTTTCAAACAAAGTGATTAAGAGCTCACATGTATTTTCAGTGATTAATATTTCACATGTATTTTCAAACAAAGTGATTTTTAGCTCACATGTATTTTTAGTGATTAATATATCACATGTATTTTCAAAGTGATTAAGAGCTCACACATATTTTCAAAGTGATTAATATCTCACATGTATTTTCAAAGTGATTAAGAGCTCACACGTATTTACAAAGTGATTAATAGCTCACATGTATTTTTATTGATTAATATATCACATGTATTTTCAAAGTGATTAAGAGCTCACACGTATTTTCAAAGTGATTAATATCTCACATGTATTTTCAAAGTGATTAAGAGCTCACACATATTTACAAAGTGATTAATAGCTCACATGTATTTTCAGTGATTAATATTTCACATGTATTTGCAAAGTGTTAAATAGCTCACGTGTATTTTCAAAGTGATTAATAGCTTATATGTATTTTCAAACAAAGTGATTAATATTTCACATGTATTTTCAGTGATTAATATTTCACATGTATTTCCAAAGTGATTAATATTTCGCATGTATTTTCAAAGTGATTAATAGCTCACATGTATTTTCAGAGTGTTACTGCATTTGGTCGATTGATGATTGAGCAGACCAAAAACTTTGTAGAGGAGAATTACACAATAGAGAATGGGTACAAACACAATGCTAAGGTATACATACATTCAAGTTAGCATTTTTGCAGTTGTTCTGTGAACAGCACTTTGCAATTGTCCTTATTCAGGTATAAATTGCAAAGTACTAATCTTGATGACGACTTTTGATGACAAATATAATTGAATATAGAATTGAATTTTGACATTGTGTATTGAAAGAAAATATTAGTAAAAACTGTTTCGTTATTACCTTTTTATGTCCCCACCACATAGTGTGGGGCCATATTGTCGGCTTAGGCGCGTCCGTCCGTCTGTTTGTCTGTCCGTCCGTCGTACGTACGGCAGTTTTCTCCAAAACCGCTACAGATATCACCTTCAAATTTTCAGGGATAACTTATGAGTGCATACAGATGTGGATGAAAATTTTTTAACTCGATACCTACTTCCTGTCGGCCATTTTGAAGTCAAATGCTAAAATCCTTGTCTGCAAAATTAAAGAAAAACTGCTTCACAGTTGCTTTTAAAACTTTAACAACTTGTTTAGCTCACTTCATTCTAGATCTGATTAGGTTTTGGACCTGTTAGCTCAGTCATGGCAGCCATTTTTAATGTCTTAAGAAAAGTTAGCGTGCGATAATACTTTGTATCATATTGAATGGTGTTTTTGAGTTTTCATACTTTAACTATTTAGTAGCTTTATAAATAATTTCAGGTGTACTTTGTTGTAAAAGCCTTTGTTTTTGTTAATGGTGGTTATATGTGATAATTTTGTAAAAAGAAATCAGCAAAAACTCATAATCACTTTTTTATTGTCGGCCATTTTGGATTTTTCCGTCCTAAAATCTTGTTTGTAAAGTCTTGTCTACGCGTTTTTAGGTGAATCGTTTGGTAGATCAATTTCAAATTTTCAGGGATGATTCTTAGTATGAAAATCTAGATCTGATTAGTTTTTTGGCATTCTAGGTAAATGTCAAGGCGGCCATTTTGGATTTTCCGTCCTAAAATCTTGTCGGTAAAGTCTTGTCTATGCAGTTCCAAGTGAACCGTTTGGTAGATCAATTTCAAATTTTCAGGGATGATTCTTAGTATAAAAATCTAGATCTGATTAGTTTTTTGGCATTCTGGATAAATGTCAAGGCGGCCATTTTGGATTTTCTGTCTTGAAATCTTGTCTGTAAAGTCTTGTCTATGCATTTTCAGGTGAAGCGTTTGGTAGATCAATTTCATATTTTCACGGATGATTCTTAGTATGAAAATCTAGATCTGATTAATTTTTTGGCATTCTGGGTAAATGTCAAGGCAGCCATTTTGGATTTTCCGTCCTAAAATCTTGTCAGTAAAGTCTTGTTTTTCTGGTTAACTGTTTGACGGATCATTTTCATTTTCAGGGGTGGTTCTTAGCATGAAAATCTAGAACTAACTAATTTTATGGCACTCTGGGTGCCCATTTTTGATTTCCCGTCCTCAAATTGTGTCGGTAAAGTCTTGTCTACTCATTTTCGGGATAACCATTTGATGGGATCACCCATTGGTGGGGACATTTTGTACACATTTGTGTTCTTGTTTATTTTTCATTTGAGTTTCGGGTCATCAGTTATTAGTCAATCCTGCACACATTAAGTGTTCCAAACCCTAACTGAAAATGTTCCGACCAAAAGCTAAATATGCCGAATTCAGTTATGAAAAAAAGTTGTTCTATGCAGAAACATATAAAACTTGTTGTATATAAAACTTGTTCTAAAACTTGCTATAAAACTTGTATTATATGTCTCTGTTCTGTGAGATAACCAGATGTTTCTCATGCAGGTTATATATGGAGATACAGATTCAGTTATGTGCAAGTTTGGTGTGGAGACAGTAGCTGAAGCAATGGAGTTGGGCAAGAAAGCTGCAGATGAAATCAGTGCTACATTTATAAAACCAATCAAATTGGAATTTGAAAAGGTATTTCACTGTTTAGCTTTTATTCTCTTCAGATTGTGAGAAGCTACTCTCACTGGGTGTCTTCATCAATTCACATTATAATGCTATCTTTATGTGACTGGTGTAATGATCACTATTTTTTTTTACATATATTCATTAATGCCTGTTTTAGTCCTGATCATAGTTTATTACTTTGCTCTCAAAATCTATGGAATATTATAGGTATATTTTCCCTATCTGCTGATCAACAAGAAACGATATGCAGGGCTATACTTCACTAGGCCTGATGTACATGACAAGATGGACTGTAAAGGAATAGAGACAGTTAGAAGAGATAACTCTCCACTTGTGGCAAATCTGATCAATACCTGCTTAAAAATGTTGCTAATTGACAGGTAAGATTTACACTGCAGTGTTGCTTTGTGATATCGTAAAATTAATGTTTGTTATTGTTTTCTGTGTATTTACAGAATAAACTTGAACAACGCAATTAATATTTGAGCTCTAACGGTTTCATAATTTCTCGTTTTTGTTCGGTTCACAGATTTTATCTTTTCGGTTCGGTTATTCAGTTTATATTGCACTTATATGAAAAAAAAGAGAGGCTAAACTCAAACTCGAAAATGACACTTCATCTTGCAAAATTCTTTTTCATGTTTACCTTCCTCATGTATCAGAACAACTTTGCACAACCCACATATCGTATTTTCCAAAATCAGGACAGCACCCATCGTTGGAAAGCCAAGATAACACCAAAATTGAGCTTTATACAATATAGAAGCATCAGCCAAAGAACCGTTCAACACCATTGTTTCAGTGCACCATTAGACCCTTAATGAACATATCTCATTATTTATGCAGTATAAATGTATTGCAAGGAAATCGTCAATAGTGGTGAAATTTGATGAAAATACATGAAAATTGGTGAAATCAGAGATAAATCCTGGGGAGATCTCTGGTATAGCTAGTGAGTCTTGCCTTGCATTGTTTTATGATGTGAAGGTAAAATGAACTCTCACATCCATTCCCTAATAGTTTTCCACACAATTTGTTGTAGCATTGTTGAACTAATATAAGCATACTGACCTTAGCTGATTTTAAAATATCTCTGTATGTAGAGACCCTAAGGGTGCAGTAGACTACGCCAAGCAGACAATCTCAGATCTCCTATGCAACAAGATTGACATTTCACAACTGGTCATCACCAAGGAGCTTACCAAGACAGATAAAGACTACAATGAGGGCGGTGCTAATAAACAGGCACATGTTGAGCTAGCTATGAAGTAAGTTGTATAGAGTTATCATCCCAACACACAAACCAAATGAAATTTGTAGTGAATATAGAGAAGCTATCCAACCATCTGATCACCTATTTGTTAATTTATTTGTCTGTCCGGGGTCTAACTCAAATAAGGGTAGATGGATTGTGTTCAAATTTTACAAGCTAATTCCTTTATGGCACCTCTGCTAAAAAGGAACTTCCGATATGGCTGCTCGGTTCAAACTCTCAAATATGGCTTGACAGATTTGGTTCAAATTTTATAGGCTTATGTCTTATGGGGTTAGAACCTTGGTTCAAAAAGGAATTTCCAATATGGTCTTAGAATTCAAAATTCTTTATTACTAAGAAGGAAAATGGCCACTATTTTAGTTACCTCGAATAACATAGATGCATTGATGGATTTGCTTATATGTCTAGAATCTAGATACAATATGTATATTTAATAAAGGATATTTACTTGAGAAAAAAAATTCAAGATGATGGATGCCCCTTTGTTGAAGAAAGGAGGAGGGAAATTAGCGCAACAGATTTTGGACAGTCATACATGTATGTTGGATTTTGGCCATTTTCTGAGGATTTAAACAATTGCAAATGTTAGGCCAATGCATTACCTCCAGGAAAATCACTACTAGAGATAATAAAATAATATCGACTTTGAGACAGGGTAGATGCAAACAACCCACCAACATGTTTTTTCTGAAATGTTTTCCTAATTTTCGACCCCTTCCATCCCTGCTTTTTAAATTTTTCTTGCATCAATATGTTGCATTTTGACACATAGTTAACCACTTAAAGCCATCTGTTTTCAGAAGAAATATAATTTCTGAGAACTCAAATAGCAGTTTTTGGATTTGGTCAAAATTTTAAAGGGTTCCTTCTCATTGAGAACTATGACATCATGATGTGACACCATCCCCGAAATCCTCGAAATGCATTTCAACATTAATTTACTAGTGAGTACGCAGTTATGTGCCAAAAACAAAGAGTTTAGCTACCACTGTCTTAAGATTTTCTTGAAAAATTATTGCTGGCGTGGTTCAGAGAAAAGATTGTGAAATGAAGCCATGATTGATGACTGTCATCTATATGTGTATTATTAGTTTCTTCTGACTAACAAAACAATTGTAGGCCTCTCCATTCGGTCAACCGTCAAAATCATATACCTCGACTGTAAACCTTGAAACTACTGTTGACCTCGACCTTCTGTCTCTGTCAACAGTAGTTTCTCGGTTTACAGTCTCGGTATACAATTTTGCCGGTTGACCTCTGGAGAGGTCAACAATTGTATATTGTATCCCAACAGAGGCTTCATTGCTGAGGTGTACATTGAAGCAGAATTTTGGAGTTGGTGTATTGTAAAGATTTTGTATATATCTGTCACTTTAACTTGAACTGTTACTTTTAGAATGAAAAAGAGGGATCCGGGCACTGCTCCCAAGTTGGGGGACAGAGTGCCATATGTCATAGTGCAGGCTGCCAAAGGTGCTGCTGCTTACACAAAGTCTGAGGTAAGCCACAAGAGACATACCTAGACATAATCTAAACAGAAAACATAATGACATTCACTCAACTTTTTATCCCACTGAACAAAGTTCGTGGGAGATATAGGAAAGCCTTCCATCCGTCTGTTTGTCAGTCTGTCCGTGCAATAACTCAAATACCGGTTGACAAGTTTGATTCAAATTTTAAATGCTTATGCTTTATGGGTGTTTTAAGGAATTTTCAATATGACTGCTCAATTCAAAATGGTGGCTATTTTTTGTAAAAAATATAATGTTTGATAACTCAAATAAACTAGTCGACCGATTTGGTTCAAATTTTATATGCTGTTCTTAGGCCAAAGGAGCCGTGCTCAAAAATCATTTTCAAGATGCTATTTTTTCATAAAAAATGTAATCTTTGATAACTCAAATACTAGTGAATGGATTTGGTTCAAATTTTACATGTTGATGCTTGAGAAGGGATTTTCAAGGTTGCAGCTAATTCTCAAAATGGCCGCCATTTTTCGTAAAAGAACATAATCTTTGATAAATCAAACACCAGTTAACAGATTTGGTTCAAATTCTATATGCTGATGCCTAGAGACAAAGAAGTTCTGCTCAAGAGGCCATCTTGAAAATTTTATATGCTGATGGCTACGGACATAGGAGCTCTGCTGAAGAAGAGATTTTAAAGATGACAGCTGAATTTCAAAATGGCCACCATGTTTCATAAAAAACATAATCTTTGATAACTTAAATACCAGTGGATGGATTTGGCTCAAATTTTATATGGCTGCTATCTATTAAAACATGTTTTGTTCGGTCGGATTTGCTAATTCGAGGAGTTACTGTTTTTCTAGTTGAAAATGCAAAAGTCATTTTAAAGTTTCCCTGATTAATACTACTCTAGATTCTGATTTTAAAGAATATGTTTTCAGAATAAATAAATTTTTAGTGAAAAAGATTAGAAGATGGTCTCTAAATTTATAATGGATAACTTTTTATTTTTAGTATTAAACAGTGCCACCTATACAAATTATTTTGTGATCTAAAAATGTGTTTTAATGTTTTGATTAATATGATAATTGCTGTGAGTTGTGTGTTTGCAGGACCCCATATACGTACTTGAGAATGACATTCCTATAGATACAAACTATTACCTGCAGAACCAGCTGTCCAACCCTCTCATGAGGATATTTGAACCTATTCTAGGAGAATCAAAGGCTCAATCAGAGTTGCTCAGTAAGTCTTCATTGTTTTAAGTCAACAAGGAATTTTCAATATGACAGCTCAATTCAAAATAGCCACCATTTTTGAATAAAATCATTGATAATTGATTGTTGTCAGATATGTTACAAATATACCTGGGCATATATATGATGAAAAATGATGTAACTCAAATATCATCGTTTTCGAAAGTATGCATATACATATTGTTGCAGACTTGTGATGAAAGGATTAGAATTGAGTTTTACCTTGTATGCCCACTAAATGTTTATTAGAGTGTGTCTTGCTCTGAGTAAAAGAAAGGAATGTGTGTATATATCTATAAGGTCTCTTACTGTGCACCTAAACTGCATTGTTGCACTGTTCTTTAAGACCTCAGTCAGTACGTTCTGTTTGAAAACTCTATTGTTCCTTTTCTAACGGTTTGTTAATTAGAAAAAGATTGCTGTTCACAAAAATATTGCCGTTCGTTAAAGTGAAGTGTAAAATGAATGGACTCAAACGGAGAGAAGAACTCAGCATTATTAATGCTTCTAAATTGTAAAAAGATCTATTTTGGTGTTAATTTGGCTTTCCAATGATTGATGCTGCCCCAATACTCCAATATGCGATAAATTTTAGTTCAGTTTAGATACCTCCGGTTTGAAGAGCTCTAATATAGGGTACAACTTCGTCTACATCTGGGTTCTTTCCCATTGGATTACACAGGGGTGTGATTTTCAATGCTGCACTGCGGCTTTGTTAAACGTTTATGTAGAGTTGCATTTGCACAAACGATAGATTTAATTAAGATATACAACAAGGCTTTTTGAACTATAATCCAAAGAAATCTGAAGTTGAAAAAATAATATATACATGTATATGTTACTTTGAATCTCCGATTATATTTCTGATTATTCATAACCTTTGACTTTGCAATCTCGTTCGACTCATTCGGTGGGCCAATGAAAATTTGTCCCTTCCAAAGCGATGCATCGTGGGAGATATTTATGTAAATTACCACCTAAACTCTTATCACGAATTGGAGTATTGCACAATCATTCTGATACATGAGAAAAGTATGCGTGAATGAATGAAATTTTGCAAAACATTTTCACCAAATGTTCAAAACAGCAAATGCACCAAAATAAGTAGCACCAAATTAAGTAGCCGCCAAATTCAATATTTCATGTTTCAATCATAAAGGATAGGTATCGATATGGAGAACTGAATTCAACAATGTTTTTCTCAATCATTGAAAACATTCTGTAAAAAAACATGGTATTTTATGTAATGTTGACTGATTGACAACAATTTAATGCGAAAATTATTTAGAAATATTTTATATAACTGTTTTTGTTAACATTTTTTGTTTTTTTAGTGCAACTGTTTTTGCTCCTTTCTACCAATTCTTGAGAATGAAATAAAATGTCTTTCCGAACCTTGTTGAAACAAAATAGCATATACAACATGTTTTTAATTTGGTGCTACTTATTTTGGTCGCCGGGTTGGCCTAGTGGTTAAGGCATTGGTCTGAAAAGCAGGAAGTCTGGCTTCAGGCTGAAAAGTAGAGGTCTTGGGTTCAAACCCAGGTCACAGCACTTCTTGTGATTTGTCTTTGACCTATGACTGCTGACCTGTACCGGCGATTACTAGAGTGCTGCTAACTCGATAAAATAGAATTGTCTATGGTTCTAGCCAGGATAAAGATACCAGTTCTTCAACTCGACAATGGGAAGAACTGCTCTACCTTAGTGACTAATATGTCATTATATGACATCTAAAGAGTCAATAAAAGATATATATTTAGACCTCTCAATATTAAAGCTATACGAAGGAATTTTTGGTTGATTTTAAAAAAGTATTCAAAAAATTAAAACAAAATCCCCCCAAAATAGATAAAAATCAAGAAAACCTTTTATTTCATTAACAAGATACTTTTTTAAAATCAACCAAAATTTCCTTTGTACAATTACAATATTGAGAGACCTAAACATGTGTTTATGTCGTTTTGTTCCAATGAGCTTCGGAAAGATGTTTCATTTCACTCTGGAAACATGATACCAAGAACAAAACAAGTGTTTAATGTGTTTTTAAAACAATATAGATGAAAGTATGTGTATCTATTTCAAATGATATTGTTACCATTCAAAAGATGGCCATTAAATTGACAATTTGTAAGATTTTCAGAAATTTTTGATGACTGGTTTAAGAGAAACGTGTGTTCAAAAAGTAAACGTTAAGTACGGACTGAATAAATGCATGTTCGTTCATTCGACAATGAATACATTTTATTTCATGAATAACCTAATATTTGTTTCTGAATAGGAAAAACTGTGGCGTGTCATGGTTTCAAATCTAAAAATAAACAAAGTCGAAAAAATTTGAGAGAATCATGATTATTTAGAGGTTATGTCACTATCATGGCATATATGCCCGAGGGCTCAGTGATATATGGCCCGATCTTGGGTGTTTCGTTGTAAACACATTGTAGTATTGACCTAAAAAAAATTGCGTCCAAAAAACGGAAATATTTTCAATTTTTGCATCCTCCAAATTATTTTTGAGTCCTCAACATGTACGGGACGCCGTTAATGCAAGCCCTGAGTTTGCCATATCGATACCCATTCTTTGTATGGTATATACATTTCAATATTGAAAGTCCGCCAAATTAAATAGTCGCCAAATGTTCAAAACAGCAAACCTGCCAAAATAAGTAGCACCAAATTAAGTAGAAGTACAGTATCGTATGTCACCACCAAAAAGACAAAAAGTATTGTTATGGTCTCCATTTTTTCTGATTTGGTTGGTGGATGGTGGTTGGCAACTTCCAATAACTTAACAAATACTGTTTAGACCAAGGACGATTGGCTCCCAGAGTGCAACATCGATATTCTGTCCCATATGGGCATGTCGTGATACAAAATTCGAATTAAAACAGCCGCCATTTTGTTCAATTCAACTTTGAATTGTGAATTTTGGTCTTATTTCCTTATAAAAAATTCCAAAAATCACAACAAATCGTCGAGAGATTGGTTCAAATCTTTTGAACTGTTTATTTTGAATTAATAGTTGGTTATAATTTCAGAAAATAACAACAATTCGATGTTTTCATTTCACCTTCAATAACCTTCTCAATGTCAATAAAGGGTCAAAAAGGTCTTTTTTCAACTTGCTTCAAATTATTTTTTTTAGATTTTAGATTTGACCTATAATTACCTTCTCAAAGTCAATAAAGATTTGACCTTCTCTAGGTCAAAAAGGTCAACTTGCTTCAAATTGACCAATTTTTTTTTCAAAATCATCTCTGAGTTCTCAGAAGTTCAAATCTTATTTAGATTTAAGATTTCACCTTCAACGGCCTTCTCGGGGTCAAGAAAGGTCTTTTTTCAACTTGCATAAAATTGACCAATTTTTTTTCAAAATCATCTACAAGTTCTCACAAATTCAAATCTGACTTAAGGCAACTAGGTGGTGAGATTTTGTCATGTTAATACCTTGTCATTGAAGTGTGATAAGAACAGAAAAACTGAACCAAAAAGATAAAAACCGTGAACCGAACAAAGAAATTATGTACCATATTAATATGTTCCAGAGGGTGACCATACAAGAACCAAGACCATAGTGACCTCCAAGGTGGGAGGACTTGCAGCCTTTGCCAAGAAGAGAGAAACATGTATTGGTTGTAAAGCTGTGCTGGACAATAACAGTATGTAGAACTTCATTGTAGCAGACTTGTAATACTCATGTTTGTGTGTGTTTTTGGTGTTGATTTGCCAATGTAAAGATTAATATATTTAGCCTCAATGGAAATGAACTTGCGCTCAGAATTTAAAAGCATTACAGAAAGCCTAAAGTCAAATCAAGAACGTAAACAGTAGTTGTTTGCAGTTAAACCATATAACATTCAATGTTCAAAGTTTGCAATGGGCAAGTTCATATTGTAAATTGGAATAGCTGTCTTACGCTGAAAAATTCGGAATGATTGATTTAAAAAAGCCATAACATTGCAATTTTCTAAGTTGTAATGAAAGTACTGTGAAATCATTACACTTTAGTTTTGAAAGTTGATTTTTGAGCTGAACTTTAGGCATACAAGGTCATTTGATAAGTTTGTGGAAAATGTTCTATTTTTAAGTGTTTTTTTATTAATATTATTTCATGTACTTTTCATATAGCATCCAAAATCATCTGGTTATTGATACCAAAAATATCAGCATTTGTAATTTGATTCGTCAAAAACAATAGTTACTATAGTAACCTTAGGTAGGCAGGGGATTTTTATGTCGCCCTGTTCTTTAGAGAAAATCAATAAAATGGTAGGCAAAGTTATGAGTGAATCACATGCATTTCCTCATATCTACTTTTATGTATATGTGCTATTATTTCTCATAGTCACATGTATTATCCCAAGAGTACTTTCTTTTGTATTTAATGCAGTCACTGGCATTCAGCCCATTGGTGCTGCAGTGCTATGAACACATCAAGGAAACTTTTTGTATTTAATGCAGTCACTGGCATTCAGCCCATTGGTGCTGCAGTGCTATGAACACATCAAGGAAACTTTTTGTATTTAATGCAGTCACTGGCATTCAGCCCATTGGTGCTGCTGTGCTATGAACACATCAAGGAAACTTTTTGTATTTAATGCAGTCACTGGCATTCAGCCCATTGGTGCTGCAGTGCTATGAACACATCAAGGAAACTTTTTGTATTTAATGCAGTCACTGGCATTCAGCCCATTGGTGCTGCAGTGCTATGAACACATCAAGGAAACTTTTTGTATTTAATGCAGTCACTGGCATTCAGCCCATTGGTGCTGCAGTGCTATGAACACATCAAGGAAACTTTTTGTATTTAATACAGTCACTGGCATTCAGCCCATTGGTGCTGCAGTGCTATGAACACATCAAGGAAACTTTTTGTATTTAATGCAGTCACTGGCATTCAGCCCATTGGTGCTGCAGTGCTATGAACACATCAAGGAAACTTTTTGTATTTAATGCAGTCACTGGCATTCAGCCCATTGGTGCTGCAGTGCTATGAACACATCAAGGAAACTTTTTGTATTTAATGCAGTCACTGGCATTCAGCCCATTGGTGCTGCTGTGCTATGAACACATCAAGGAAACTTTTTGTATTTAATGCAGTCACTGGCATTCAGCCCATTGGTGCTGCTGTGCTATGAACACATCAAGGAAACTTTTTGTATTTAATGCAGTCACTGGCATTCAGCCCATTGGTGCTGCAGTGCTATGAACACATCAAGGAAACTTTTTGTATTTAATGCAGTCACTGGCATTCAGCCCATTGGTGCTGCTGTGCTATGAACACATCAAGGAAACTTTTTGTATTTAATGCAGTCACTGGCATTCAGCCCATTGGTGCTGCAGTGCTATGAACACATCAAGGAAACTTTTTGTATTTAATGCAGTCACTGGCATTCAGCCCATTGGTGCTGCTGTGCTATGAACACATCAAGGAAACTTTTTGTATTTAATGCAGTCACTGGCATTCAGCCCATTGGTGCTGCAGTGCTATGAACACATCAAGGAAACTTTTTGTATTTAATGCAGTCACTGGCATTCAGCCCATTGGTGCTGCAGTGCTATGAACACATCAAGGAAACTTTTTGTATTTAATGCAGTCACTGGCATTCAGCCCATTGGTGCTGCTGTGCTATGAACACATCAAGGAAACTTTTTGTATTTAATGCAGTCACTGGCATTCAGCCCATTGGTGCTGCAGTGCTATGAACACATCAAGGAAACTTTTTGTATTTAATGCAGTCACTGGCATTCAGCCCATTGGTGCTGCAGTGCTATGAACACATCAAGGAAACTTTTTGTATTTAATGCAGTCACTGGCATTCAGCCCATTGGTGCTGCAGTGCTATGAACACATCAAGGAAACTTTTTGTATTTAATGCAGTCACTGGCATTCAGCCCATTGGTGCTGCAGTGCTATGAACACATCAAGGAAACTTTTTGTATTTAATGCAGTCACTGGCATTCAGCCCATTGGTGCTGCAGTGCTATGAACACATCAAGGAAACTTTTTGTATTTAATGCAGTCACTGGCATTCAGCCCATTGGTGCTGCAGTGCTATGAACACATCAAGGAAACTTTTTGTATTTAATGCAGTCACTGGCATTCAGCCCATTGGTGCTGCAGTGCTATGAACACATCAAGGAAACTTTTTGTATTTAATGCAGTCACTGGCATTCAGCCCATTGGTGCTGCTGTGCTATGAACACATCAAGGAAACTTGAAGGCCCATTTGAAATGCTGTTGAAAGTTCTTGCATTGTTCCATAACCATACATGTCTCAACTCATCCATCCCATTGAAAACAGCAAAATTAAAGATTGTCTCATCATAGGATCTTTACCATACATATTCCAAATCTGATTCATCGTTTTTCTGTTTGGTCTGCTCTCCAAGGACACAGAATCTAATGGCAGCTTCAATCTGTGAAATCTTGGAATCTCTCAAGTTTGACTTTGTTTGATGGTGACATCAGAGCAATCATATGTGATGTTAAGTTTACTAGATCTGTGATTTTGCTCCATTATCCAATGTAATTTAAACAAGAACAGAAATAATATAAGCCTTCATTTGCATGCATTGCTAGATTTATGCAATGGTATATTGTGGATTTAAAATGCCCTGCCTACCCAAATGTCAAGTTACCATAGGAACCATCATTTCTGAACAATCAAATTAGAGATGCTGATATTTACAAATCAATAACCAGATATATTGTGGATGTTATGTGAAAACTATGTTCTGACGTCATGTGAATAAAATACGAATTATATAGCCATCGGTTTTTGAGTAATTGTCCTGTTATGAATGTTGTCACATGATTACAATTTTTATTTAAGGCACTGATGCAGTTTGCAAATACTGTAAACCAAAGGAGTCTGGACTCTACCAGAAGGAAGTTGCCCACTTCAGTGCCCTGGAAGAGAAATTCTCTCGCCTGTGGACACAATGTCAGCGGTGTCAGGGGAGCTTACATGAGGAGGTTTTGTGTTCAAGGTATGTAATACAATGACTAGATTATTTGTCTATTGTCATTTACTAGTAACAGCCTAGTGTGTTAAGCTACTGATCTTTAAAGGAATAACATGTAAATTAGGTATTCATTGTTTTCATTGAAATGGAATCTTTATTAGTATTGTAATTATGGAACCTTTATTTTCAGTCGAGATTGCCCAATATTTTACATGCGTAAAAAGGTGCAAAAGGATCTAGAAAAATCAGACAAACTTTTACAAAGATTTGGAAATCCATCATGGTGATATAATCTTCTGCTGCGAGTGATGTTTACATCAAAATATGGCCATTGCTACAACAACATATTTGAAGACTTTCCCACATGAATGAGTTGCCAAAACACGAGTACAAAATGAGTACAATGGATGTCTTATGTTGGATTAGTCTGTTATTATTCAAGATCAACTGGAAGGAACATGTGCGATAAGACTGATTGCAAAATGGGAATAAGAAGTGAAGTTTCTGTTGGACATGTAAACATATTTTTAACAACCATTACAATATATAGACAAATCATGTCCTAAAGCTAATTTGATGGAAGTTGTTTTAAACCAATACACAAGAGAGTGCATTAAGTGTCAGTGGTACTGCACTCAATTATGCTGTTACCGAAACAGATCCAGTTCAGTAACAAGATGGCTATGGTTATTGGAAAGTTCAGTAAATTTTTTTTTTGATTTCTTGAGATAGGATAAATCATTCCATTCTTTTTGGCACAAACATGTATAAGCATCATATGTTTCTGGAATTCTAAGCGATTTTGCACAAAATAGTTTGTGGGATGACAGAATCGTCCTATAATTCCTCAATTTGTAACATAAATGGAACTTCAAAAATGGTTAAAATATGCACTTTTAACCCATTCCATTTCCGTAACAATAGTAAGGTATTAAATCAATTTTGTTGTCTTCTGAACTATGTGCTCACAAATGTGTAGATTTTTTTAACATAATGATATTGACACATATTTTTGATAAAATCTCATGGGAAAAATTCTGCCTACAATTTCGTGAAATAAGAAAAATCGTACCTTCGAGGTTCAGACGAAATGGATCTGTTTCGGTAACTAGTTTGCAGAGTGCGGTACCAGTAAGTGTGTTCTTGGATCAAAATATTGAAGTCAAGATAGCTGCTTAAGTATTCATACAAATCTGCCAAATATAGCTTAAATTAATCGAATTGTTTGAAAAAAGGACTGACTGTTTCCATTTTAAACATAAACCTCTTGTGAACACAAGAACAGGAATCTCAAAAATCCCAAAACCATCAAAATATGAATTATGTTCTATTTCTTTCAGCATACATCTACTGGTTATGTTCAATGTTTTCATTTACATGTATAATTATTTTAAGTGATCGAGATATCAATTATCAATATTGCAAGCAATCTTAAGGAGGCTCGGAAGGTATTTTCAACTAGTATTTACGAAAAGTCAGATCTGAAATAAAAGGTCAGATTTAAAATCCTGTCTACTTCTAAATGATTTTGAAAAAAAAATTTAATTTGAAGCAGTTCAAAATATTTCCGAATTCTTACCTTTTGGCCAAACAGTGAGGAAAATAAGATAATACATGTATGTGAACAGTTTGCTTTCATTATGTCAAAATATCTTTATTATTGAGTTGCAGTACAATACTCTTCATCAACAAATACATATATTCATTTGTCAGTTTAATTATTTTCACATCTCCAACAATTAGGACAACTACAGTAGTAATAGTAAATAAATATAGAATGAATATATAAATTAATAAACATGCTCATTGAGATCTTTACTCCCTTGGTAAACCCTGAACACAGGACATTAGAATCACTGGAAGGATCAAATGACTTTTTCATATGAGGGTGAACAGAAAGTTGGTCTTTGAGTAATTTGAGTAATTTTCTTATTGATGTATACATAGAGGACATCCTATGATTTATGAGTGATATGATTTTTATCCACGAATGGATATGATATCTGCACGAGCGAGCGTAGCATCAAAAAGAAAATTGAATCCCCAATATGTACCATTCATACATGTACCATATTCATAACATATGAATTTATATTGACACATGTTTTCCCCAATAGGGCTACATGCAAATTCCAAAATAATGTCACAGATAACTATGTCACAAGTACGTGAAGTAGCGACTAATGTCCCATCCCAATATGTGCAAGAATTTAATAAGTGAAAAAATAACCCACGTGTCATGTAAGTTAATACAATTAATATAAAGTTTGACTGATGCAATCTTTCAAGTAATACTAACAATAAAACAGACCACATGTTCCCATGACCAAGTTGAGTTAATAGAAAATCAATAATACATGTATAACAATAATATAAATAATAAAAATATTATTTACATCCATAAGTAGTTATTGATATCTTCACGAGTGAGTCACATATAACTTCAGTGTAAATATCACAAAATGTGTATACTGTAGAGTAACAGGATACTATACTGAAAGTATTGATATTTAAATTAATACGAGTATTCCACTTTGTCCACTTGTCCCCACCTGATTGTAAAGAGTTATGTCTTTACAACAAAATGGATGAACTTCCGTTGTCTCAATTGTCGGAGTTGATGGATATATTTCAGTATTTCCATGTGACTGCCTTGGTTTTCAGTAACCCTATGTTATTATTAACAGATGGGTAAACTATTTGGATACAAATCAATCTCCTTCTTGGTGAAAATCAAAATTTTCTCTTACGGAAGTTCATCCATTTTGTTATAACGTCTTTATAACCAGGTGAGGACCAGTGATGTTAACTGGTTGCCAAATTCTTCTTTACATATTCCAGCTGAAAATTATCATACAGTTGGTTGTAACACCCAGTCCCTTCAATTCTGGGAGATACTATTTAGTAGAATAAACTGCCACCTAATTTATTATACATTATTTCAAGTGCTTTGTCGTCTTGTGATATTTTATTCAAATATTTCATTCTGTTGAAGTGAATATATGTGCGTCTTTTACAAGTGAAATTCAATAAGGTACAAAGGGCTAGTAGAATATCATCTTGTGAAAATGCCACAGGTATTCACTGAAAATAGAATGAAATATTTGTTTTATTATATCACTGTCAAGCTCACTATTCTCATTATTATTAACTCTTATGTTTTAACACTGATAAATACAATTATATTAGGTCTTAATCTGACAAAATATGTTTTGGATGTGTATTATTAAATACATTAAACTAACAAGAGAGTGAGGAATATGACAGCAATATGACAATGGCTAAAATTGAACATATTGGAAATACAGAAATGTACATCAGACATATTATTAGTATTACACACAATCCCTTTCAACGGTCAATAATATTCCATGAGGCTGTTTCAAGGACTGTTACAAGATACTGTGTCAGGATTGAATGTCTCTAGAGATGAGATCAAGAAGTCTAATTCTGCCTCCATTATAATCATGTCTTGCTCAGTTGTCTGCATCTCAATTTTCACTTGATTGTATGAATCCAGTAAATCTACAATGAAATGACACAATACGTTCAACTGGAGAAAAATACATACAGTAGGGTACCAAGTATTCAGGATGTTTAGAGCAACTGTTGAGAATTACATGTAGCAGGTGTTTATGATTAATAGGGACTCTGCAGATATCCTCCAGTCTGCATCAAAAATTCAAATATACACTGTAGGGTATGATGAAATGTATGTATATCTGTTTGAACGAAGCACATGGCTGTTCAAATATTTTGATTTTACCCTGCTACCTTACCTGCTAAATTTGTGATATCTTTAACAGCTTGGAGGTCATCTTCAAGAGTGTTAACATCACCTTCCAGAACCTCAATGTCGGCCATCTTGGAGGTTGCATCAGTATAGCTACTTGAGATTTCTTCACTGAGACTTTGCAAGTAGTTGCCATTGTCAACCTGACTCTGAAATCAATAGAATGACACATTCCTCAACAGTGGAACAGCATTGTAAATTTGAATAGCTGTTATGCAGTACACTAAACTGGTATTCTAAAAGACATACAATTGTTCTTGAGAAAGAAAAATGAATTTTATTTTTAAGTTAAGTAAAAGAAGCCTACAGTGAGGCGTTTCTTTGGTAATTCTAGGTTCTTTACTTTCCAGCACTTAAATTATCCCACTAAACAAAGCTGGAATTACTCAAACACCAGTAGGTGGAGCTGGTTAAAATATTGCTGATGCTTTATGGGCATACCTCTGCTCAAGAAGGAATTTTCAAGATGGTGGTTGAATTCAAGATGTAGTTTGCTATTTCATAGAGTTGCTTCTTCATATGTGATGAATCATATAAAATAAAGGCCTCAGCTCAAGAAGGAAATTACAATATATGCTCAATTCAAAAAGCCGGAAGTTATAAATTGCATTATATGACCATGCATTATGAAAATGCTGAGATAATTTATAATTTGCTAGAATAAAAAATAGAAAATACCGTTTGTGTTGCTATTGCTGCATTCAAGTGATCTTTGGCTTTATTAAAGTAGTCTGCACTGACAGCTTCCTCGTCAGCAAAACACTGCTGGATTACACCAGTTTGTTGCAGCAGATTGGTCAACATGTCAGATGCTGTTGTTCCAAGACTGGAAGCAGCCATTGTCTTGGTGTTCACCTGGAATGGTCAAATTAAAATAACAGCAAAGAAAGAGAGTGTAAAATGTTCAAATATTTCTGACCTTACAATTGTACAGTTCATAGTTCCAGACCTACTAGGACTGCATAAAAGGATAGCATTTTCATGTATAATCTGGAGGGAATCTTTACCTGGGATAATATATTTGAGACTGTTGTGTTGGATTGTACAGCCTCATTTAGAATATTAGTGCTGTCATTTCTAAGCTGACTGGCTTCCACAAGATTCTGCTGGATGGTCTGCACTTGACCCAGGGATTGTTCAGCTGAATCCCTGTAACATTATAATAAATGTTAATATATCTATTATTTATTGTAAAATAGTCCTATGATGGTATCCATAATGAACAATGCATTCAAGCAGTGTCCCAGGGGCATGGTTCAAGAATATGCACTATATTAGCACTTCATTCTTGATTCATTCTACATAATGAGCCACTAAGAGAACTGAGGAGCATTAGAAGAAATGTTTTCTACAAAAAAAAACAATTTGAGTATGCATCTAAATCCCAGAATGAATGTTATTAACTGCTTCAAGTTATAAAATGATGTTACGAAAATCATGTGAAGGATGTCACATAAAAAACAAATTCATCCAAATCTCATTTGTTATCCCATTGAACGTACGTCCGAGCAATAACTCAAATACCATTGGCTCGATTTTGTTCATATTTTGTACACACATACCCTATGGGGGTAGAAGTTCTGCTCTAAAGCCGATTTTCAAAATGGCCGCTTATTTAAAAATGTAAAATACATTATACTATAACCCGAAAAGTAGTGGAGCGATTTTGTTCATATTTGGTATGTGAATACTATAAGCATGGCACACTGTCTATTAGAATATAGTCCGGAGTAGGGATACTAGTGGTTACCGTTGGTTATTTGGTTTTCTGTATAAAAAGCTTTTTCTCCTTTTCTGTCCCGTCACAGCGCCATCTAGTGTTTGATAAATGAATCAAGGTTTATTCTCGATAGGGTAAGTACTAATCTATCAGGAAACATTTACAAGTTTGGTTAGAAACTGAATTTTTATAGATGGCGGAGTGATTTTTGAGACTATGTAGAGCAGAATAATTTTCTGAAACAGGTAGTTTTACGGTGGTAGCTCTCTCCAGATTCAGTTATCTCTAAAACGGTGTGGTCACCGTATGCTTATTTTGTAACGGCAAGCTAGACAAGACTCCAATGAACACTGGGCACTGTTTCGCTGAGCTAGATCTGTGCCCATGAATATATTATGAAATGAAACGTTATAATGGTCGTCAATGGGATTTTTTACTGCAATCTTGACCCTATTAATGACACTTTTGGTAGAAGGCGGCCATTTTGAAAAATGGCCGCCATTTTAATATATTTTACTATAACTCGAAAAGTAGTGGAGCGATTTTGTTCATATTTGGTATATGATTACTATAAGCATGGCACACTGTCTATAACACTTTTGGTAGAAGGTGGCCATTTTGAAAAATGGCTGCCATTTTTGCTATATATTTTGTTTGTAAAAATGCCAGCCTGGCTGTTCGATGGGATTTGATACGCTTTGGCGTTGCTGTTGTCTAGTTGTAAAATGGTTTTCAAAATTGATTAGTGAGGACAAAGATAAATGGAAAATAATTCCAAAAGCTGAACTTTCCAAGTTAGGGGTTAATTTTAATGTACTCAAAAGCAAGATAGATATGGAAAACTTTATAGGTATTAATGAGGTGAAGAGTAGTTTTTGGAAAAGGGGGCTAGAAATATGGTTGACAAAATCTGAAAATAAAGATCTGTTAGAATGTGACATCATTTGGAACAATTTGGACGTAAACGGAAAATATGGCTAATAAAAAGATGTATGTAATAAGAATTTTTAATTAGGAAAATGCATTGTATTAAAAGTTTCAAAATGATAATTATGTTTAACTGATAAATAATGGGTAAATGTGTGGTAAAAGCGTTATTGGATTTCACAGATGTATCGAATTGTTGCATTGAATTTAGGAAATGTTTTGAATTGTTGTTATGTCGAATGAAGTGAACTTTTGTATTGAATGTACTGATTTGTTCGAATAAAAATAATTCACTTAGTCATATACATGTATTGTTTACCTAGTCAATCACATCACTGAAAAACTTAGTCATCTCATAAACCTCACAGTGATATTTCCATGATATTATTCTATTACAGTTTGAAAATGACAAAATATTGTGCAAAGCCTCTCCAAGTGTTGTACATGTACTTACTGTGCTTGCTCTGTGACTTGTAATGCCTGTTCTGCTTCAGTTAGTGCACTTTCAGCCTCTTGAAAGACCTGTTCTACCTCAATAGAAGCAATAGAAGTGGCAGTGATCTCTGATGTAATGCTCTGAATGTCATCCAATTGTCTCAAATTCATACCTGGAATTAATTATAACAGTGGATGAATCAACCACTCAAAACTTATTCTGGCCAAATACCAAGTTACAAGCCTTGGGTCATAAATCTACCCATCAAAAGAGGGATACTTGACCAATACACACTAATACACACATGGTGAAAACACCTCATGCCTTAAGTTATACTTATTCATAAATACTGGATAAATATTTTATTTGTATCTCTTGGGTATAAGAAGTTGTGGTACTCACCCAGAGTATTCTGAGCCATTGCTAAAGCATCTAATGAGTCATTATCTGCTTGCTGAAGGTCAATCATTCCTTGTGCTATACTTTCAATGGTATCAGTCATGTTGCCTTTAGTCCATTGTGCAGTTTCCTTGGAAGATAAAGTCACATTTGTAATGAAAAGGCACTTGTAATAGTCACTGCTATCTGAAGCAATTGTCTGATTTATTATGTTATTATCCAACATCATTGTTGATGTCTGTTTTATAGGAGCTATGGTCTGTTTTATAGGAGCTATGGTTTGTTTTATAGGAGCTATGGTCTATTTAATAGGAGCTATGGTTTGTTTTATAGGAGCTATGGTCTGTTTTATAGGAGCTATGGTTTGTTTTATAGGAGCTATGGTCTGTTTTATAGGAGCTATGGTTTGTTTTATAGGAGCTATGGTTTGTTTTATAGGAGCTATGGTCTGTTTTATAGGAGCTATGGTTTGTTTTATAGGAGCTATGGTCTGTTTTATAGGAGCTATGGTTTGTTTTATAGGAGCTATGGTCTGTTTTATAGGAGCTATGGTTTGTTTTATAGGAGCTATGGTCTGTTTTATAGGAGCTATGGTTTGTTTTATAGGAGCTATGGTCTGTTTTATAGGAGCTATGGTTTGTTTTATAGGAGCTATGGTCTGTTTTATAGGAGCTATGTTTTGTTTTATAGGAGCTATGGTCTGTTTTATAGGAGCTATGGTTTGTTTTATAGGAGCTATGGTTTGTTTTATAGGAGATATGGTCTGTTTTATAGGAGCTATGGTTTGTTTTATAGGAGCTATGGTTTGTTTCATAGAGATGATTACCTTTTCATAGACATGATTTTGGTCTGTTTTATAGACATGATAATACTGTATAAAGAACAGTAACCAAAACCTTTTCTCTTAAAAGCTCATGCCAACACACAGACAGAAGAATATGACAGCATTTTTGTCATGTGACATGTGTTTAACCAACCAAAGAATGAGTTACATGACAGTAAGATAATGTTTTTATTATTGATATTTTTCCCCCTCTCCAATGTGATTAGTTTAGTGAAAAATGACACATATTTGATGCTAAAAGGTAATTCAAAAGAACAACTGAAATCTTATTTCATATTTGTATACCTGGTATGCTCTTGCAGCACTCTGACCCATCTGAGATACGCGATCAGCCTCACTTGAGTTAAACTTCACAATCTGGGCATGTGTCATATTGCCCAACATACTGTCCCTTAGGTCTGTGGCCAATACTTCCACCTCTGCACATATGTTTTCAGAGAATGTCAGGTTGACTGTTGTGCTATTCAACTGGGCTCCAACAGAAGTTATCCTTGGTGGGAATCCTACATCCAAGGCTGCAGCATTTGTGAGTGCATCATTGTTTGTGTTAAACTGCACCTCAAAATTGCCTCCAATAATGCTCTCAACTGTGCCACGGGTAGCAATAGCTTCATCTAAGGTGTTCATAGACTCTGCCACTCTTGTAATAAGTTCTTGAACTGTTGTATTTGAGTTCCTCAGTGTATCAGCCATATCAATGATGTTATCATATGATGATGTGGCATTTGTGGAACTGTCATTCAAGTGGTTCCTGGCATCAATTGTTGAATTCAATATCTGATTGGCTGTCTTCAAGACACCTGGAGAGACCTGCGTTTCAGATGTATATTGTCTGGCAATCGTCAAGTTGTTGTTAATCACAGCACGTAGCTCTTCTATGACATTCAACAAGCTACTAAATTTTTCAATTTCAGCTTGAATCTGCAATTATAGGAAAAATATCAATCTGTGCTATAATGTCCATATATTTAAATTTTTTAAAGACCCTTCGTAAAGTTAAACACTTTGGATCATAATTGTAGTCTTGATGAATATTATCAAAATGTGATATGTAAATGTCTTAAGTTTTAAAGTGATTTGGAATCTCTTCTGTAAACAGATTCTTCAATGCTTAGCATCAACGACTTTGCAATGTTGAGAATTAATATTTTCTATCTAGACAATGCAATTTTCTGAATTTGAAATTTCTGTCTTTATTATTTGATTTCCTTTATACAGAAGTCAATGATACATATACTAATTGCCAGTTGTATATACATGTAGGCTATCCTAATATTGAAAATGTAAAGCACGATTCCAGCATAATTAAGAAAGTTGTTCCAAAATTAGAAGGATGCATATTTGTGTTACTCAGAAAAATCCTGTTGATGGGCTACGCAATTTGTCATAACTTATAAAATCCCTTTTGATTTGTTACTTGATATGTTAAACATGATGAAATCCCTGTTGTTGGGCTATGCAATTTGTCATAACTTATAAAATCCCTTTTGATTTGTTACTTGATATGTTAAACATGCATGAAATCCCTGTTGTTGGGCTACGCAATTTGTCATAACTTATAAAATCCCTTTTGATTTGTTACTTGATATGTTAAACATGATGAAATCCCTGTTGTTGGGCTACGCAATTTGTCATAACTTATAAAATCCCTTTTGATTTGTTACTTGATATGTTAAACATGATGAAATCCCTGTTGTTGGGCTACGCAATTTGTCATAACTTATAAAATCCCTTTTGATTTGTTACTTGATATGTTAAACATGATGAAATCCCTGTTGTTGGGCTACGCAATTTGTCATAACTTATAAAATCCCTTTTGATTTGTTACTTGATATGTTAAACATGATGAAATCCCTGTTGTTGGGCTACGCAATTTGTCATAACTTATAAAATCCCTTTTGATTTGTTACTTGATAGGTTAAACATGATGAAATCCCTGTTGTTGGGCTACGCAATTTGTCATAACTTATAAAATCCCTTTTGATTTGTTACTTGATATGTTAAACATGGTGAAATCCCTGTTGTTGGGCTACGCAATTTGTCATAACTTATAAAATCCCTTTTGATTTGTTACTTGATATGTTAAACATGATGAAATCCCTGTTGTTGGGCTACGCAATTTGTCATAACTTATAAAATCCCTTTTGATTTGTTACTTGATATGTTAAACATGATGAAATCCCTGCTGTTGGGCTACGCAATTTGTCATAACTTATAAAATCCCTTTTGATTTGTTACTTGATATGTTAAACATGATGAAATCCCTGTTGTTTGGCTACGCAATTTGTCAATATTAACTTATAAAATCCCTTTTGATTTGTTACTTGATATGTTAAACATGGTGAAATCCCTGTTGTTGGGCTACGCAATTTGTCATAACTTATAAAATCCCTTTTGATTTGTTACTTGATATGTTAAACATGATGAAATCCCTGCTGTTGGGCTACGCAATTTGTCATAACTTATAAAATCCCTTTTGATTTGTTACTTGATATGTTAAACATGATGAAATCCCTGTTGTTGGGCTACGCAATTTGTCATAACTTATAAAATCCCTTTTGATTTGTTACTTGATATGTTAAACATGATGAAATCCCTGTTGTTGGGCTACGCAATTTGTCATAACTTATAAAATCCCTTTTGATTTGTTACTTGATATGTTAAACATGCATGAAATCCCTGTTGTTGGGCTACGCAATTTGTCATAACTTATAAAATCCCTTTTGATTTGTTACTTGATATGTTAAACATGATGAAATCCCTGTTGTTGGGCTACGCAATTTGTCATAACTTATAAAATCCCTTTTGATTTGTTACTTGATAGGTTAAACATGATGAAATCCCTTTTGATTTGTTACTTGATAGGTTAAACATGATGAAATCCCTGTTGTTGGGCTACGCAATTTGTCATAACTTATAAAATCCCTTTTGATTTGTTACTTGATAGGTTAAACATGGTGAAATCCCTGTTGTTGGGCTACGCAATTTGTCATAACTTATAAAATCTCTTTTGATTTGTTACTTGATAGGTTAAACATGATGAAATCCGTGTTGTTGGGCTACTAGGTACATAGTATTCCATACCTGATCAAATCCCTGTTGAAGATACAATAGGTTTTGTGTCATGGTCTGTGCTGATCCTATTGAACTTTCCACCTGAGATATGTTTCCTCTAATACCATCTAACAATGGACTAACTTCACTTGTGCTTGCATTATCTGCAACAGTTGACATCTTCATTGTATTATTATCAAAATCACTTCACATTAAATCAAGAATGAAATAGAAAAGTAAAAACAGATCGCAAAACAGCACACCTCAATTTGAACATATCATACTAGAAATGACAAGGCAGCAGGAGTCTGATATTGCCAAAAGTTACAATCAATAAAGCATTGCCATTTCAAATGTGAACAATAATATTGCAATCAATTTATCTTTACTCACATTTTGAGGGAGAAGGAAGCTAGGTGGCTACACTAAACATAATTACCTATACAGTATAGTAGTATTCTTATTGTACATCTAGGTATACAGCACATACAATGTACATCAATTTAGGAATATAATATATATTTATTTCATCATACTACTGTTTTCCTAGGGAAATATGAAGGAATAACCTTACATGTTTATTATAGAATAAATAGGCTATTTCTGGTTGGGATTGAATATGGGGTTTATTCCTCGGAAAATATGATATTGACCTTGGGCAATATCATATTGACAGTCGGTCGCTGCACTCCCTCGGTCAATATCATATTACCCTTCGGTCAATATCATATTGTCCCTCGGAATAAAACCCTTATTCAATCCCTCTCAGTAAATAACCTCTATGTATTTCTCACCATAGTTATTCCATATATCTATGGCTACCCCATACTGCTGTTGTATTACAACTCCTACTTCATCAATGTTTTTGGCCCAGTTATCATAGCATTCTCCACATAACTCACAGTCAGGGAACTCTCCTACATAAATACCCTCAACAAACTGGAAGCCAACTGAAATTAATTCAAATCATTGATCAATTTGGAAAAAGTCAGTCACATATTTAATGAAGTGATCTCTTAATTTAAAAAATCAGTAGATGTTGATATACCAGGTATGTAATACAATGAAACAAGGCAGCAATATCATTTGAACATCTTCCAGGTAGCTTATATAAGGTGTTCATTTGGAATTTTTATGCAATCTTTATTGGAGTCCCATTTAGTTTCAGGAACACATAAAGGGTTGCATAAAAATTGCAAATGTACAAACTGTACCTTAAAATAAACAAACATGAGTTTACCTTTAGTTCCCTTGGCACATTGATCACAGGTGACTCCTATGATTGCCTCCTTAGCACAAGTACACTGGCCACTAGTGACGTTACATTTGCCAAATGTCTCACTTGTTGTATTAAGGGTCCCTGCAGGGTTACACTCACATTCATTACAACCAGTCGCCTCATTAACATTCCAATAGGTGTCCTCACAGTAGTTGCACTGTCTACCAATCACATGAGTTCTACACAAACATTGGCCAGTTGTCTGAAAAGAGAGTATTGTATTTCATGTTTTTCAAAAGTGCTTACATCAGAAACTAATATCGAATGCAAAATTAGATATTTACTCTTTCATCCCCAAGGGGTCATTTATTAATTTTATGAAAATCAATTTCAAAAGGACAAATATGACTATGGCCAAAATGAATTTTTTTAAAGTTTACAATGGCAAATTCAATGTCATGTTATACTTTGGATAACATTTAGAGTTTGAACCAAGATAGGCTGAGATAGGGGTCATTAAGTCCAGTTGCCCCATTATGCTACAAAATGCTTCAGAATTATTGTTTTTGGTCGAAATGATATGTGATATTTGAAAATAGTGTGCAGTTCCAATACACCATTGGAAAGCTGTCACACCTTTTTACTCATACCTCATATTTTTATTTCACTCTAATGTAGAATTCCATATCAAGTATGCATAATGTCTATTACGAAATTATTCCAGTAAATAGTTTGTTAGACATAACAATCCACATATGCATTCCGAAACCATGTATCCTAGCCTCAAATAAACTAAGGAGATAAACAAAGTCACACAACTTATCATGGAGAATGAAAATTATGATATTTGGGTGGTAATTTCAAAGAGTAAATGTAACCCTAACCATGAAGTGTAAACATCATAATTATATACTGTCGTGTTACCGAGACCACACACTTTATTGTTATGGACATTTAGATTGAAAATAGAAACTGATTGTCAAAATATATTTTGCTCAAGTATAGAGACATATGATAGGATGGGAAGTTATTCCCCCTCTTACTCACAGTGTTACAACTAGTTGCTATAGAGCCCACAGGATCACAGTCACACAGAGTGCATCCCTGACCACTTGTATAGTTGAAGGAATTTAGAATGCAACTATCACAGGAAAGGCCTTGTACATTTGGATGACATTCACAGGTCCCTGTCAGGTGGTTACAGAACCCTGTTGCACCTAAGTTACTGCATGCACATGCTACAAATTCAAGGAAACAAACATTAAAACGTTACGAGGATATTTAATAAACTAAAAATGTATTAATTCATGTTTAACATGTTGGCCAAAAAACTGGACTAAGCCCATCAATTATCTTTATTTTCCACGTACAAAAACTTCAACCAATAGGACCTAGATGATCTTATGCATTATAGAGCATTGATTGTGTGTCAACTTACTCCAGTAATGTCTCAAATGAGTTATGATCTTATTTCAATGTATGTTAAGCCTCAGTCACATTTGCTCTATGGTGGATGTTATCGTTATAGAAAATCTTACATCGCACTGATTATCCCTATATTTTATGCTGCATCTTTCTTTTGATTTTGGGAAGCTACGACCGCCGTACAGTTACCGTAGATCAAATATGACTGAGGCATTATACATACAGTTTTCTAAGTCATGACATGCATCATTACATTAATTTACTTACGTTGGCACTTTTCAGTCATGGCATTACCAAAGTACTTAGGTGCACATATATCGCAATGTTGGCCTGCAGTGTTGTTGGCACAGTCGATGCAATATCCTGTCTCAGTGTCACATGTAATTGCCCTATTGTTACAGCTACACTGACTACAGACCCCACCAGCGTTCTACAAGATCATAACTACAGTGTACTAATTACTCATTTCTTCATAATTGCTTCTCATAGTGATATTAATTATTGTTACCAGCTTTTCCCCTTAAATTAGGTAATCCAGTAAATATAGGTACATGTATAATATGGGATCACCTCATTGTACTGACGCGCATTATATCGAAACCCATTAAACCGACACGCATTGTACCGAAAACCAATAAACCGACATGCATTGTACCGAAAACCAATTAACATGATACACCGATGCGCGTTGTACCGAAATCCGTGTGCGTTGTACCGAAAACCATTACTGTATACTGACAGTCCGACACCATGATTTCAGTTGTGATGAAAAAAGGCTTGTAATGGAAGATGTATGATAAGAGTAGAAATAAGTATTATTGAAAATCATGCATATTTAATCAGGAAAACCAGGCAAATAGCAACAGATTTTGTTATGAATGAGATTAAAGAACACTAAACAAGCTTTCCAATGGTTTGTGTACATGTGGCTCCCTATTTCAAATCATGTGTAATATTGTCAGTCAGCAAAAATGTTTTGTCATCTATTAATAAAGTTCAATGCGTAACAGTTGATTCACTTCTGTTAGAAAGGAGACTAAAGAAGACAAGATAAGCTTTCCAATGGTGCGTTGATCGTTGTATATGTGGCTAGGTATTTCAAATACCAGTTCGTGAAAATACTTCATCATCTACTGTACTATACAATGCGTTACATTTAATTTCAATTTAATTTACTGTATTTTCTTTTACATTTTTATACCGTTTTTCTGCCCTCGAGAAGGGATCCTTGAATTAAAGCCTAGACAATACGGAATAAATGTTAGAATTGTGGCAGAAACTTTTTTCAATTGGCTTCAATTTTCGAAGATTGTTCTAAATCAGATGCCCTATGGCAATTGGCATATTCCTACAAACTATTAAGTTGTATTCCAAATAGACGGACAAACAGACAAACGAATGGGTGGCTTTTCTATCTCTGAGGATAGGTTGTTCTAGTCTCAAAATACATGTTCTCTCGTTTGTAAAGATTTTTGTCAATTCTAATTAATGATATCATGTATCAAAACATAAAAACTGTCTTATATTTTACTCCAAATAAACTTTAAATGTGTGTTCGAGCGCTAATTTGTCTATCAATTAAGTTGCGCTTGCATTGTCTCTTAAAGGTTACACACAGATAGATACACACAGTAAAACTTTACAATGTGCGTCGGCACTATGGCATTCAGTATAATGCCTTTCGGTACAATGCGCGTCGGTATAATGGGTTTCAGTATAATGCACGTCGGTATAATGGGTTTCAGTATAATGCACGTCGGTATAATGGGTTTCGGTATAATGCGCAGACCCCTATAATATACAGAGTCAAGCATGCTGTTACTCTGAATTTTGCATATAACCAAAACTTTGATCGGAGGCCCTACCAATTTTTAAGTCTTAAAACCACATTTCAACTATACTTTTTGGTAAACAGAAGTATTCTATTAGTGTGAGGCTTTTTGGAAATGAAGAATACTACTATTTCATAACATATATTTTTCCACAAAATATGAAGATAAATGGTTCACTTATACTGAAGTTATTCCCAAGACAAAAGAACTGATGGTTGGCCAGATGGATGGACATCTAGAAATATATTACTTCCCTAACAATCTTAGTTAATTTTGTCATTATTATATTAATCGTGTTCCTGTGAAAATTGTAAAGCTTACCGAGACATTCTCTGGTTGTCCATACCAGTCTTGTAGACAGACCTGACACCTGTCACCCCCATGGCCCTCGGTGCAGTTGTGACACATATGGCTGTCACCTTTCACTGAGCATGTTGAAGCAAACACATTTAAGTCTCCCTCTATAACATTGCCAGGACACATACAAGGAGAACAATCATCTGGAAATATATTGCCTTAATTTATTTACAAGAAATGCTAATTGGACTCATACATGTGCATGCACTAATTGATAATAATTTGACCGTTTACACTAAATAGACACTAGATCCATCCATACACAGTGGCAATTTTCGAAATTTTTCGAACCCCCCTATTCTGGTGCTAGTTCGCTGTGCTCACTAAATGCTAATTAGTGAGCATTAGCTTCACCACAGGCATTATCAAGTGCCCCCCCCCCAAACACAAAATCATGGATTTGTGTCTGATACATGCATATGCACTCAATGGTAATAATTGGACCTTAGAGTTCTCTCAAAGTAGCAAACTGACAAAATAATTTTTAACGAATTCAGAAAACTTAACTTCATGGGGTGCCTGAAAACTTACATGGGGTGCCTTCGGTGGGTGTACCAAAAAATCCCTCTACACACTTCTCACAGTGCGTGCCTGTGGTGTTATGAGCACAGTAACATGTCCCTGTCTCGACATCACAAGATGTCTCTGTGCTATGTCCATTGCAATCACATGGAATACATTCGGAATAAGGACCACCATTTAGGATTTTTCGTCTGTAACCAGGAGCACATTGTTCACAGAACTGGCCCTAAGACAAAAACATGGAAACAATATAATGTATATACATGCAAAAAGCAGTTTTGCATTCTTAAGATACAAAAATCAAAAGGATAATATGACAATTGCTCTAGAGATACTCACTATATAATCAATTGGGTATATACATTGCTCGAGAGATACTCACTATATAATCAATTGGGTATATACATTGCTCGAGAGATACTCACTATGTAATCAATTGGGCATATACACCGCTAGAGAGATACTCACTATAATAATCAATTGGGCATATACACCGCTAGAGAGATACTCACTATAATAATCAATTGGGCATATACACCGCTCGAGAGATACTCACTATGTATAATCAATTGGGCATATACACTGATCGAGAGATACTCACTATAATAATCAATTGGGCATATACACCGCTCGAGAGATACTCACTATGTATAATCAATTGGGCATATACACCGCTCGAGAGATACTCACTATATAATCAATTGGGTATATACACTGATCGAGAGATACTCACTATAATAATCAATTGGGCATATACACCGCTCGAGAGATACTCACTATGTATAATCAATTGGGCATATACACCGCTCGAGAGATACTTACTATGTAATCAATTGGGCAAGAGATACTCACTATATAATCAATTGGGTATATACACTGATCAAGAGATACTCACTATAATAATCAATTGGGCATATACACCGCTCGAGAGATACTCACTATGTATAATCAATTGGGCATATACACTGATGGAGACATACTTTATATAACCAATTGGGCATATATACACTGCTCTAGAGAAACTCACTATATAACCAATTGGGCATAATCTGCTCCAAACGGACTCATACTCACCATATAAGCAATTGGGCATACACATTGCTCTACATTGTTGACAATGGCTGCTCCAGTTGAGTTGTCCCTCACTGAGAAAAACATTTGTGCATAGTAGATATCAACATTGACATTGCTTACCTAAAATCGTTAATTAACCGGTGTAATTAAAGTATTATGCATAAACAACACTGGCTCCTCTATTCCAGTATGACAAAGATGGTTACATTTTAATTTAAACTTTCAGTTGTTTTTTCATACATTTACTATTAAAATGTAAATTTCAGATAAATAATGTAAAGCCACACTGCATCAAACTTTTAATAGATGTAATTCTTTGTGTGAAATTTTTTTCACTTGGGAAATTATTGATACAAAGTTATCAAAAACATGTAGATAATTATTGTGAATTTGCTAAAAGATGAAAAGTTCTTACATTGCTGTATTTTCCACGGATTCGTATTGCTTTTAAATCTGCTAATAGTTGTAGCATCTCTCTATAGGTGGCACCTCTGTTAGTAGTGAAATTCACTTTCCACTGACTCTCATGCACATTAAACTAAAAATATAATCATAGGCAAATTCTGAAATACATATAATACATGTAGTTTTCTGAGCATATTCATGCAGGGGAATAATGTCAAAAGTGTACAAAATGGGACCTGTATTTATATTTTTTTCTGAGCGAAGAATCAAATTTTGTAAAAAGCGATGAGGCAAACACACAAATTTTCCGACTTTTTAGGGGGGTGTGCGCCCCCCACGCCCCCTTTCTAGATCCGCTGGTGAGTTTAGTTTTGGTTTTTACCTTCTCAGACTATACGAGGGTTTATTAAAAAGTTCTGCACCATTTGCTCTAAAAATCTTATTTCTTTATGAATATTGTTCATATTAGGCCTTAACCCAGAAGTAATGCACTATATGCTCTAACTTAATCAATACATGATATTTTGTATAGGAGTTTCATTTTGTGTAAAAATAAGCAATAAATTTGAATTGAATTTCAATAAAAATGAAGTAATGCACTATATGCTCTAACTTAATCAATACTTGATATTTTGTATAGTAGTTTCATTTTGTGTAAAAATAAGCAATAAATTACATTTGACCAAGATTTAACCAAGGAGGATTGGCAGCCATTATTCAAACTATGTTGCCTGCAGTGGAAAAATTTTGTAAAATTATTTCTACAAGATTCTCATTACGAATATTTTGGTAGTATTCAAGTTTCCTCAGCAGCTCCAGTCTTCAAAATATGAGTAATACAGGTGTCAGTCATGCCTGTTAATCAATTATTTTTTCATTAGACCAATGCTATATTTGTGATGTGATATCATACATGCTATAGTTGGCAACTTTCATGTCACTGACCTGAAGAATGCCTTGCGCCAAAAGCAGCCCGATAAGCTTAAAATCCAGTTCCATTTCGACAACGCGCCATTCCTTACCTTAATACTTACTCAAACTACCATGAAAATATGTGCATGCCTTAACACAGCGGCAACTAATGGGATGGTTCTGGCCCAGGCCGTCCAACTGTCCCGCAATTTGAGTATTTGTCACGCATTTGCTGGGAAATTTGATTTGTTTTTGCGTTACAGAATATGTCACACAAATAGTCATTTTAACTAATTATTGTCAAGCAAAAATATTTCTGTAGAAAAACTTCAAAAAGCGATCGCCGATACAGCAAAAAAACAAACGCCAAAAAAAATGAATGCATTCCGTTCGGACTTTTCATGCAGATACCATATAAGTCACACATTTTACTCGAACTATATTTTGTTCAATCTGTGAGCCAAGGTGTTCAGATTTGGACCAAGGTGTCCACATTTTGAGGGGAGGTGTTCAACATTTGTATGTCACTCATGTTAGGTGTTCCCAAGTTGACAGGCCTGCAGGTCAAATATGAACAATATTCATAAAATATTAAGATTTTTAGAGCAAACGGTGCAAAACTTTTGAATCAACCCTTGTATATGCAAAATTAATAGAAAACTGACAAACTGAACCTAGCATTTTCTGCCCTGTTCTAGTCCATATTCTAGCTGAGACTGTTATTCAGGACATAAACTATACAGTACATATACTGGAGAAGTATAATAAAATGGTAATGTTAATCTATCACATATTCATATTTGCATATTGCTAGGGATCTTACAGTGAATTGAGTAGGGGTTATCTGAGGCAAGCTTGGCAGGGATGCAACCAATGTAAAATCAACATGACTTCCCACTAAGACAACATCCCCAGCTGAACGGTCCACCAGTTCTAGGGAAGAGATGTTAGCAGTGTAGTTTGTAATACCAGGTATGGCCATTGCAATCCCTAGAGTAAAGTTGAAGCCATAGGCTGATCTCATGTCGTCAAGGTACTGACTGGACACAAGGAAGTAGACATCTTGACGTTTCTCTATGGTGGCATCATTTATTATCCTCATTACAAATCTAAGAAAATGTATCAAGATAATCAAAATGATTTGATTTTCAACTAAATTAATGTTGCATTTTCATTAAAACATATTTTATATTAGAGTTTTAGATAAAAAATACTTAATATTAGTAATGAACTAATGATCCATACAAATATCATACAAGATACATGAAAATTTATGTCCCATAAAATCCCTCTGAATGCATGCTCAGACCTTCATTCTGACTAGACTTACTGAATAACTGGCACTTAAATGGCAGCCATTTTTAAACTGATGGTAATTTCAAAAATTGGCTTTTGAGCAGAACTTGGTAATGGGGCATCACATATGAAATATTAACAATATTTGCCCAACAGTGTTTTATTCAGATGGACAGGGCCTTTCTCTATACAAATGTATCCCCAAACTTCGTTTGATGGGATAATGAAATGGAATTCATCCTTACTCCAAGATATTTATACATATGCCATCTTTTTTGGGCCTATTTGATGTCTGTTTTCAGTTCATGATGTGATGTAACATGACTAGGTGCATGGCCAAATGTAAAGTACTCACTGCCATTTATCTTGAAATGATATTGATGGATAAGCAACGGGAACTGCCATGCCATTCTCATCCTCCATCCTCCATCTATCTTCAATGGCAGATCCATCATTATAAGACCAATGATTCTTAACTGAAGCCAGTATGTAATCTGGGGCGGATGAACAGTTATCAGAATGTCCCGAACAGAAACATGGCATACATCCATCTGGACTCCATTGTCCCAGTCCAAAATATTCTGCAAAAGGGAAAGACCAAAACTTGAAGCATTAAAAATAGTACCTTGGGTACTGGGCTTACATGGTGTGGTATTACTTATAGACTCATTATTGATAACCTGAAAATTAAGGTACAGAATCTGTAATTGATGGAATACTTGTGGATTTATGATAAAAAGATATCTAAAAGCCTCAGGTTTTTCCACTATAAAACTGGTGGCAATTTTAAATATTTGCACCATATTTTGCCCAAACTTGTAGACATTATTGATAATCTAAAAATTAAGTACAATTTCAAGCGAATTGATGGTATACTGTGAGGTTATGACCAAAAACAGGCTGAAAACCTAATTTTTTCACAATAAAAGTGGTGGCCGTTTTGAATCTTTGCTTATCATTTAGTCAAAACTTGTAGACAGTATCTATAACCTATAAATAAAGATACCTGTACAATTTCAAGCAAATTGGTGGAACACTTGTGGAGTAATGACCAAAATGAGCCAAAACCTGACTTTTTCACAATAAAATGGCTGCCACTTTGGAACTAGGTGAGCTTTTGAAACGCCATTGATGGAAAAATTGACGACACTATATAGACACATTTTAAATGTGAAACCATTTCAATTGTCGAGAAGGATTTCGAGCTAGCTACAAATGTGTTGATGGACAGCCAGATGGACAGACAGACGGACATCTTGTAATATATAGATACACTGTCCCACATGTTTCGTTAAAGAGCAACTGAAGCAGACAGACAGATGGACAGACAGACAGGTGATGATAACAAAAGCTCACCATGTGAACAAAAACAACTTTAAAACAAAAACATAAGTGCCTATCCAATATAATGAAAACAAAGCTCCACTTTCCCAAACTCTGGTCTGACTCACAAAAAACAATGTTAACATCTATGTACCCTTTTAGAAACTAAAATCACAATAAAAAACACAAGATCAGGGAGTTTCATATTAACACCATATACAAAATACCATGCCTTCAATCTAATGCACATGTATGTGAACTCAAACTAAACCAAATTAGCAACATACCTGGTTGACATTGGTCACATTTCTCTCCAGTTGTGTGGAGTTTGCATGAACAATCCCCAATAGACTTATCACATCTACCAGTAGTGCTGCCATCTATATGACAATCACATGATGTGCATCCATCACTAGTCTGATTGTAATATCTACAGTATCATAAATACACATTATCATAAAAATCAATACATCATCAAATGTATAAGCAAGGTTGCCCCACGATACAATCAGGCATAATCCCATGCTCCCTCTGACATATTTGAAAACCCATGTACAATGCTCCTATAATTTAGCCAGGATATCCCAATCAAGTACATGTATCATTGAATGACTGGCATCAGTCTTTAAACCATTAGTCTAAAAATGGCCAACTAGAGACATTAGTCATTTTCAATATATGAACTGCTTACAATGTTCCTTTTTATTGGTTGTGACACACAAAGTAAAAATATAAATGTTGTAAAGCTGATCGAATTACCCATCTAGACATTGTGTACATGTTGCTCCACCTATGCCTTGTTTACAAGGACATTGGCCATCATCTGTACAGCTGTTGTTGTAGGAATACTGCAAATTACACGTGCAGGCCTTACATCCACTGCCTGCAATTAGAACAGAGGCACACACATCATAATATAATATTTATCATTTTTATAGGAAACTGTTAGACCATATCCTGTTTTTCAGGTATGATATAAACAGAATTTAAAATCAATGGTATTACACGAATATTGCGATGTATGATGTTTCCCAAATATACTATAATATTTAAAATAGAGCAGTCATATTGGGATCTCAGTGCACCTAGAACAGAGGTTATCTTTCCATGAGACAGCCTGAATCCAACAGCTGTTAGTTCTCAAAAATAAATATTAATTTAATGAAAAATGGTGCTCATTCTGCATTCAATGTCCATCTTGAAAAGAGCATGCATTGTAACTCCAATCCTTAATTCATCAGTATGTAATGTTTGAGCAAATTAAAATCTGTCAACTGGTATTTGAGTTGAGCAGCCATAATGGATATTTCCCTAGCCCATAAAAACAGCCATCGGGTCCAGGGCTAACATGTTACCCTTTATGCCCTAATATAAAATATGACAACATACCTCCACTGAACAGCCCATAATGGAAAGGTTCACACTGGTCACATTTGTTCCCAATGACATGTGGTTTACAAGAACATGAGCCAGTCTCATTACATGATGGTCTCTGTGAACCAGTCTCATGGCAGCCACAAGCTAAAACAGAACAATGTGTGCAAAGCATATGTATGGCAATGACCTCATGTTCACTCAGTCAGTCTTCAACTACAATGTTTCAAAATAGTTATTAGCCCAAGGAGAAACTAAATGGAAGTATTTTTATTTACCTTTCTTCTAGATACTAGATATAGTAGTAAATGTATTGTCATTGATTCATGAAATTGAGTTTTCCAATACTTGACCCTTGCAAAAAGTTTCATTGAAAATATGTTCTTGTAGCGATTTTGTATCTTTCAGGTGATTTTAAAGAAAATATTTTGCAATAATAAGCCCAAGACTCCGGCCATTCATTGTGGCTGCTTCATTCCACTCAGATGTTTTACCAAAACTTTGCATTCCCCCTGCCGGGTCATGCAAAGATTTGGAACCAACATCTTTGTGGAATGGTTCAGCACACAATGCACTGAGTCCAAGGCTTAAATCCCTTAAAGAATAAATATTACCTTGACAACCTTCTCCACTGCTGTAACCATAGTGATTGACCTTACACATACTGCAGTCCAGGAGCATAACCCCAGGCTTGCACTGACACTGACCCCCATCACCTGCACACTCTGTGTTCGCCACCGTACCAGTAGATTCACATCTGCACTCTAACCAACATATTAAATTATACCTTAAAAGGTTGGCATAAAAATTCAAAAATGTGTTTTTGAGATCATTGTAGAAACAAGTACTTTTAAAAACTCATAGAGTAATTCTGTAAAATGAAAGCTATAGACATAAATAAAATGAAAGCTATAGACATAAATAAAATGAAAGCTATAGACATAAAGAGTGCCATATCTTACAGCATGATGCGTCCTAAAGCCCATGCACACATTGCAAACTAAGATAATAAGATGTTGGTTTTCTTATGGCATAGTCACACTCTTTTTGTATCATCTGACTGCCATATTGAAAGACCTGTACCCTTTTATATTTGTTTGACTTTGCTTCTTAAAAGAGAGCTTCATCTTCAGTTTACAATAAATCTCTGAATTGAACTCATCAAGCTAATCAGAGTTTTTCATCAAAATACGGAGGACTTTCTATATATGGTCATTACCTCTACCATAATTGCATGGTTAATGCGGGACTGCTAAATTGTAATATAGTCTATACTGACCAGGGGCTAGTTTATAACTTGACTCTGCATTCAGGGTAAAAGAGCTGTTGCTACAGTAATGCACAATTCATAGTTTTTAATACCTTTAACTTAGTATTATTGTCTAGAGTAAAAATTTATGTTAACTATTATCTTTCAAAATATGTTAAGTGGGCACTTTGTTAGGCAGACTGCACAATTCTTTTAAGAAATGGCTCAAAACTGTTTACATATACAACTGCAAAACCTCTTGATAGAGAATCTGAATCTTTAAGGAAAACCTTAGTCTAGCAAAGCCAAACATCAACACATATGACTGTGTAATAAACCTTCACAATATACATGTATCAATGACCTATTACCATATTGGTTTTATGAAGTGATCATGATTACCTAAAGCGCTATCATAGAACTCAGCCATAACAGAGTATTCTAGTCTTGAACAGCTAATGTTGCTCATAGCAGTGTAGTTCATATGTGATGCCAGCTCAGCACATTCAAGAAGCTGCTGTTGGACTGACTCATCTCCATTCAAGTAAGCCAAAGTGGTTGACACAACTGGTAGTAGCACAATCTGAAACAATCAAGTAAGCCAGGGTGGTTGACACAACTGGTAGTAGCACAATCTGAAACATTCAAGTAAGCCACGTGGTTGACACAAGTGGTAGTAGCACAATCTGAAACAATCAAGTAAGCCAGGGTGTTTGACACATCTTATGTAGTAGCACAATCTGAAACATTGAAGTAAGTCAGGGTGATTGACACATCTCATGTAGTAGCACAATCTGAAACATTAAGTCAGGGTGGTTGAAACAACTGGTAAAAGCACAATCTGAAATATTAAGTCAGGGTGGTTGACACAACTGGTAGAAGCACAATCTGAAACAATCAAGTAAGCCAGGGTGGTTGACACAACTGGTAGAAGCACAATCTGAAACAATCAAGTAAGCCAAGTGGTTGACACAACTGGTAGAAGCACAATCTGAAACAATCAAGTAAGCCAGGGTGGTTGACACAACTGGTAGAAGCACAATCTGAAACAATCAAGTAAGCCAGGGTGGTTGACACAACTGGTAGAAGCACAATCTGAAACGTTCAAGTAAGCCAGGGTGGTTGACACAACTGGTAGAAGCACAATCTGAAACATTCAAGTAAACCAGTAGGCAGACATAACCTTTGGGTTCCTCTTGCATCTTATTGATTGTATCATATCATATCATGTCATATCACATCATGTCATATCATATCATGTCATATCATGCCATATCATGTCATGTCATGTCATATCATGTCATATCATAGTGGTCTGGACAGAACAAGTCATCCCTCTCTTTTTTCCTGATAACCTTTTCAATTATCAATATTTTTTCATTGAATTTTCACAGGATAAACTTCAAAGCATAGTGGACAATCCCAATTTTGATTTCTATCATTTTAGTCATTGCTTTTGAATGCTAGCTTATGAACTGACTTACAAACATGAATTTCCTACTCATGTGCTTCATCTATTTAACATAATTTATTAGTTAAAAACATGTTAAATCAGTTAAAGGCCCCATATAAAGTTTAAACCACTTTGGCTTATATTGTAGTCTTACCCAATGTTATCAAAGTGTGGTATGTGAAACTTTTTTCTAAAATTTCAAAAAGTGGTTTTTGATAGTTCAGTTCAGTTCAGTTCAGTGTCTTTATTTCCTCCACATAGGTGAAGATTTAAACATTACATATAATTACAGACAATTCACATTAACAGATTATTTACATTTGTACATATTAATTGTTACATATAGATTTACATTTAGAGTTTTTACATTTCTGTTTGTTTGATTACTGTTTTCACCATTAGATCAATGTAATATGCACTATTCAATAGGAACTGTTCAATTGTACCATCTTGGCAATTTTGAAGTACATCAGTCGTGCTTCCTAATAACGTTTCTACTATAATATCTTCAGTAGTGTTCAATAATTGAACTGATAAATCAATAGGTAGTATATCAACAATACCGTCTAAGAGTTTCTCTCTCAAGTAAATAACTCGGACATGCTGGCAGTGAAGTGCAAGGTGACTGACCATATCAATTGTCAACTTTTTACATGCAAGGCATTTTGTTTCTTTTTCAGTGAAAAGTAAAAGGAGTGCAAGTAACTGGCCAAATCGCCAAGTAAACATGGGATATCTTAGAGTTTAGACCAAGCTCCCAATAAATAATAGGCTTATACTCGATATGAACATTTGAAAATCGTTGTAATCTTGGATTAATGTGGACAGTCTCTCGCCATGTCTTTGATTCTGTATACTGAATTTGGCCATTTACTAATAATTTCCATTTTCCTTTGTCCATAATTCTATGTTTAAAAGTATTTCCTTCCAAATAAGTTAGGAATTCTTGACGGATAACAGGATATGTATCTAAAATAGACATGACGTCACTTAAAAAAAAAAACTTTAAAAGGTCACAAATATCTTTTAATTAGCCACAATTCATACCAATGCATAGCATTCATCCTCCAATGTTTTTTGCCGAAAAAATTAAGAAAATCAGTTCATAAATAAGCGAGAAATGAACTTACCACACTGGCGGATTAGGGGGGGGGGGCCTGGGGGCCTGGCCCTCCCCTCCCTTGGGTGGGCCCAGAAAAAAAAATTGGGCCCAAAAAAATTTTTGGCCAAAAAAGGCCTTCAGGCCCCAAAAAGTGGGCCTTTTTGGTCATTAGTGGGCCTTTTAAAGAATTTTTTTTAATTTCAGGCCAAATTTTGAAGAAAATTGGCCTCAAAATTTCAAAATTTGGGCCCACTTTTGGGTTTTTGGGGCCCAAAATTTTTTTCCGCGCAAGCGCAGACGTTTTTTTCTCTGGCTTGAAATTTGGGTCCCCCCCCTTGTTGATTCCCAGATCCGCCCCTGTACCAGTTCATGAAAATGGTTCCGAGAAAAATGCATTTCAAAATTTTAGTTCTCATAGAAACCAATGGTACAATGATATCTAAAACATAATATATTCTTCCTTTTAACCTGGTTAGACAATCAACATTGGTTTAATATTTAAGTCTAGCATATTTAGAAAAGATTGACATCGAAAAAAAAATTTCAATTTTTTCAAAAAGTTTTTGTTACCTTAGTGACATCACTAATGTTTCAAAATATTTTTGATATGCTAAGACATTGAAGTGGCCCATTAACACTGCTACCCACCTAATTACACAGACGTATCGTCGGTGTATCATGGCGGAACTTCCTCCGGGACTAGGTTTCGGTAAGATTTTTTTATTTCCCGATTTACACCTACTTATAAGTCACGTTGTGGATAATAATTTGGCTCGAAGTTAAGAAAGATAGTCTAGTTTGAGAATGTGTCGATGGTTTTTGGTTTTATATGTTAACAAAGACACAATTCACGTATTTAGTCCCTCGCTTTTCTTACACTGACGATCGGCATTAATATTGCCAATATTACACTGACATTGGTCGTTCGTCAGTGTAAGAAAAGCGAGGGACTAAATACGTGAATTGTGTCTTTGTTAACATATAAAACCTAAAACCAACGACACTTTCTCAAACAAGACTATCTTCCTTAACTTCGAGCCAAATTATTATCGACGACGTGACTTATAAGTAGGTGTAAATCGGGAAATAAAAAAATCTTACCGAAACCTAGTCCCGGAGGAAGTTCCGCCATGATACACCGACGATACGTCTGTGTAATTAGGTGGGTAGCAGTGATTAAATATGGCATTTTATTATTGAAATAGTGTGTCCTTTGTTCAATTTTTGCATTGGTATTAAAAAGATAATTCTTTTTGAAATGCATTAAGAAATATTTGATGATTAAAAAATTTCAGCTTTTTTTTGAAAAATGGCCGGAAATTTGAATATTTGAGAAATGAAATGCTCACAACTTTTTTCTCAAAAAATTTTTCTTTTTCAAAAATCTCTATGACAAAAAGTAAATGAATGATAAAAAAATATTTTCAAACTTTAGACAGGGACTTTAAAGATATGTTTTCCAATCTATGTAATGTCATTCTGCTCCTTACCCATGCCATGGGCTTTCAACTAGAAATTGAAAGCCCATGCCCATGCCCCTAAAATATTTTGATTTCTCGTTTAAATCTCTTTTTTTTATTTATTTTTTTATTCATTACTTTATTTATATCAGTAAAATATTTTACACAAGAACTCCTCGATCGCCTTTCAGCATTATATAGAGGAGCAAATAAACACAAATAATGTGATACAATAGCAAATGTGTACTGGTCAGGCACATGCGTTTCCTGGGTCTTGGGTGATATCAGGTCTGGAAGCCGGGTCGGTACTCGTTAGGTTTTGAGAGCCAAATTGTTGGTGTGAAGAAAAGTTGCAACAGTTGTCAAAATAAGTGAATTTTTATCTAGGGAGATGTCAAGACTTCCATGCTTAAATAAGTTCAAGTAATAATTTTGATTTCTATGTTCAATTTGTGCTATTTCATTGATATCTTTAAATAATTTTTCTCTCTCTGCAGTTAATAGTAAGCAGTGAAAGAAAATATGTTTCAAGGTTTGGGGAAGTCCACATGTACAATTAGGAGTATCAATAAAGTTAAAGTTGTGAGCATATAACTGGGCTTTAAACAGGAGATCAGCTCTAAGTCGATTAATGATAATTTCATGACTTCTTGAGATGTTGAGTTGGCTTGTAGTTATAGTTTGAGGTTGATCCGAAAACAACAACTTTTGTTTCTGTTTGAAGGTTTGAAGAGTTTTACAAAGTTTGATTTTATTTGGAAGGCTTAGCCAGCTAGAAATAGCAGCTGGAACTGCGGATTTACGATACGTTTCTGAGCATCGGACAGGTAATCTGAATTCACGGTGTTCGCGAAGATCACGACCCCTAGGGTTACGGAATTTTTCAAAAATTTCATCAATGTATATTGGAACAGGGCCATTAACTATTTTGAACATTTGATTATTAATTTGAATTTTTCGCCGGGTTTCCAGAGTAGGCCACTGAAGTAGAGAAAGCACCTTTTCGAAGCTGCTTCCATGGAGACAGCCAGAGCAAGATAGTGCAGCTTGATAGTATAATCTGTCTAGTCTTTGAAGGAGGTACTTAGGAGCTGTATTGTATAGGACAGTTTCATATTCAAAATGTGGATGAATGAAAGAATTAAAAATAGTTTCAATGTGTTTAGAAGTCATCATATTTTTGAGTGCCTTTAATGGACCAAGCATTTTACTAATTTTATCAAAAATATCATTTATATGCTGTCTATGAGTTAGACAAGGGTCAAACGTATAGCCCAGATGTTTGTGCACATTGACTCTCTCAATTTCCATATTATTTAGAGTAGATGAACTAACATTGTCTAGTTTCATTTTGGATCCGTGAAAAATGATTTCACAACTTTTTTCAGGCTTAAACTGTAAGCCTCATGTTTTCGACCAAAGCTCAATATTCTGGAGACTTGAGTTCACAATATTATCAATTTGATGAGGATTCTTAGGATCAAAGGAAAAATGAAGCGAAGTATCATCCGCATAGATGTAACACTGTCCGTTTAAGTCATCAGGAAGGTCATTTATATAGAGGATGA